GCAGGTTTTATGTCCAGGGTAGTGTGAGGATATCTGCTTTACCTGCTTTGCAGACCTGGCTATGTTCTATGGCCAGCCATGTGAAAAGCTGGGGTCTGAACCTCAGCTCCCAGTCTGCCCTCTGAAGGGCTCCCAAAGGCCCAGTGTGCTGCATCCCCACTGGAGGTAGGACCAATGGAAGCGTTATTTTCAAGAGTTGCCTCAGGAAGCTCTGAGGGGCACTGCGCTTTAACACTACTTCATAATGATGCTATTGTATGTTCCAAAAAGCACAGTTCACCTGAGATCCTTAAACAAGAACCAAGCAACAGAATTGACATTTTCAGTTGCATGTGGGATAAAGCATTTGGGAACACATTTGTTGTCTTTTGATAACTTTTTGTATTACTCAGAAAATGCATCCCTGATTCCAGTGACATTTTTATTGAAAAGGGCATGGTGGAGGTGGTGGGTGGGTGGAATTTTCTGTGATTGAGAGTGTGTGTGTGTGTGTGTGTGTGTGTGTGTGTCTGTGTGTGTGTGTGTGTGTCTGTGTGTGTCTGTGTGTGTCTGTGTGTGTGTTTGTGTCTGTGTGTCTGTGTGTCTGTGCTTGCACTGCCAGTCCCAGGGATTTTTTAAAAAATTAATATTTGAGGGGTTTTCCTGTCCTAGCTAGCTACTTTTAAAGCTAGAACTTTTACCTAGAACACCTTAAATTTATTGATGGGGACTCAGTGCACTGCTTCTGTTATCTTCCAGTACTCAGTCTGTAGTCCCTGCTGTCCCAGAGACTTCATTTTCAGTCTTTGGTCTGCTTTGCCCTCCTTTCCACAGCAGAGTGATGATACACAGGTCTTCTCACTGCCCTGGTCTTTACCTCCCGCCCTGCCCTGACACTTGGTGCTGTCTTTCTGGGTGTCTGTGCCTTGTTCCCCAAGAACAGACAGACTCTGGATGGCTAACTTGAGCATCACTTGGAAGACTAAGAGATTCAGATGGACACTCAGACCACATTCAGAACTACTGCCATTTTGGTCTAATCCTGCTCCGTCTACTCAACTTGCAGTGTGAGAAGCACTGGACTGAAGGACATCTGCACCACACTAGCCACTTTCACACATCCATCTGTCTGCCTGCTCTGCTCTAGTCAGCCTGAGTTTGCCTGTCACAGTCTAACATGCTTTTCTCTCCAGACTTTTATGGCTTCACTTTCTGTTTCATTCTTCTGTGCATTTATTGATCTACTCAAGTTCTTAATGGATTGCCCATCAGAGCTGGTGTCACAGGTGTAGCGAACAAATCCATCTTAATCCTACCCTCATGGAGCTTGGTATGTAGTGAGAAACATAGCTAGAAACACATATGGTGAGTTCCAAGTACAGAATTACAGTGAGCATAATTAGGAGAGTCTATAACACCCCGTGTGACTGGCTGGGAGACACAGGAAGGTGACTCTGAGGGAGTGGGACCAAGAGTGAGTAGGGTAATCAGAGGGAAAGCAGGAAGTACAGCGGAAGCCGGGAAGCAGGGAGGGGGCGAGCCTGCTCTTAAAGCCTGTGTCTGCATTCGCTCTTCCACTTAACCAGTTAATCACATCCCTTCCATGCTGAATTACGCCTCCTGTATTCTCTGTGGAGGCCCAGACCCTCAGCACAGCCACAGGAATGCTGTAGCCATGTGCTCAGTTGCAAATCTCATCAGTCTTTTTTATTCTACCATCCCACTGTTGAGCTGTTGGTAAAACCAGTTTCCTTACTCTTCCAAAACACAGTGATGAGATTTTAAATTGTCCTCTAAAGCTCCGATTTCCTCTTCCTCCTCCTTTTAGTGTCTTTCTTCTTCTCCCTCTTCTCCTCCTCCTTCTTCTTATGTTTTTTTGTTTGTTTTGAGAAAAAGTCTCTATTCTACTAATTCTGGTTGTCCTGGAACTCACTTTATCAGGCTGGCTTCAAACTCACAGAGCTCTGCCTGTCTCTGCCTCCAGTGCTGGAATCAAAGGCCACCATGTCCACATGTCCAGCCTGATGCTTTTTTTTTGAGACAGGGTTTCTCTGTGTAGCTTTGGAGCCTGTCCTGGAACTCCCCCTGTAGACCAGGCTGGCCTCTAACTCACAGAGATCCTCCTGCCTCTGCCTCCTGAGTGCTGGGATTAAAGGCGAGCACCACTACCCAACTTTGATGCTTCCTTCTTAAAAGCTTCTCAAGGGCCTGGGGAGAACACTCAGCTGCCATACAAGTGTGAGGGCCGAGTCAGAACCCCTTCCCTTAGATGGAGAGCCAAGTGCAGCAAAGCACATCTGTAATCCCAGCAGCAGGGAGACAGACAGGAGGATGGTGGGCTGCCGCCAGCTGGCCTGACCATATCAGTGATCTCTGTCTAAAGTGAAAGACCTGTCTCAAACACATAAATTGAAAGGTAGAATAAAGATATAGAGGGTCGGTGTTGGTGAGACAGCACAGCAGGTAAAGATGTCTGCCCTCAAGCCTGAGTTCAATCCCTGGGGCCCACATAGAAGAAGGAGAGAACTGTCTCCTAAAAGTTTTCCTCTGGTTTCCACATGCTGACTGTGGCACATGCATGCACAGACACAAACGTGCACATACACACATTCTCTCTCTCTCTCTCTCTCTCTCTCTCTCTCTCACACACACACACACACACACACACACACACACACACACACAAACAAAAGCATTATGGACATCATCCAGAGGCAGCCACTGGTTTGTCTTCTACCAGTACTGATTAGTTTTGCCCATTTTTTGGCTTTGAATACATGGAATTGTGTTGTAGGTAATATGTATATGTTGTGTCTGGCTTCTTTTACACAAAGTAATGTTAGAGAAAGGCCTGTGTTTCAGTCAGCAGGGATTCATTCCTGCCCTTTGTTGCATACAGGTGCATGGTCTGAACATGCTACAATTTATCCATCCTACAACTGGTGGCAACTTAGGTCTCTTCGTGTGTGTGTGTGTGTGTGTGTGTGTGTGTGTGTGTGTGTGTGTGTGTGTGTCTGTGTGTGTCTGTGTGTGTCTGTGTGTGTCTGTGTGTGTCTGTGTCTGTGTGTCTGTGTGTGTGTTTTATATAGTGAATACAATGTATTTTTGCTGTTTTCTATTAGGCTCACACCTAGGAATGAGATTGTTGTGTCACAAAACGTGTGTGTTCAGCTTGGTGGAGATATTGCCAAAAAAAATTTCCCAAAGAGGTTGTGTTGATTTATGTTCTTTGCAGCAGCTACTGGAAGTTAGGAAAGCTGGACACCTTCCACAGTGTTGTCAGACTTAAAGCATAGTTCGGCAGTGGGCATGTGGGGGACTTTGTTTTGTGGCTTTACTTTCTATTTATTTGACAAGCAATTGTCTAAGTACTTCCTTTTATTTCTCCCCATTTTTTAAAAGAAAGTCTTTTATTTTATTTTTGTTTATTAATTATAGGTATGTGCTGGGTGGTGGTGTACGCCTTTGATGCCTTTAATGCCAGCACTCGGGAGGCAGAGGCAGGTGGATCTCAGTGAGTTTGAGGCCAGGCTGGTCTACAGAGTGAGTGCCAGGACAGGCTCTGAAGCTACACAGAGAAATCCTGTTTGGAAAAACCAAAAAATAAAAAAAAAAATTATGGATTTGCATATGTATCTGTGTATAGGTGTGTGCAGTTCCTGCAAAGGCCTCAAGAGGGCCGGGCGATGGATCTGCTGGAACTTGAGTTAACTAGCAGTTGTAAGCTGCCTGATACAGGTGGTGGGACTAGAACTTTGGCACTCTACAATAGTTGTATGTGCTCTTTAACTGTTGAGGCATCTCTCCAGCTCTCTTTCCATTGTCTATTGCATTTTTTACTCTTGTGGAGCTAAAGTAATACTTAGGTCTCTGTAGATCTTCTGCAGATATACTCCACCACTGTGGGGACTGCTTTTTTTTTTTTTTGGTCTTCTGAATAAATGTTCTTTTTTAAGAAGTAGAGGTTTTGGGGCTGGAGAGATGGATCAGTGGTATAGAGCACTTGTTGCTCTTGCAGAGGACCCAGATTTGACTCCCAGCACCCACTTGATGGCTTACAACCATCATAACTCCAGATTCAAAGGATCCAATGTCCTCTTCTGACCTCTGAGGGCACCAAGCAAACATGTATATGGTGCACATATATATATACACAGCAACATAAAATAAATGTTTTTAAACTATACTGATTTTTTTATATTTATTTTATGAGTATGACTGCTTGTCTGTAAGTGCAGCCCATGTGTATTTGGTGCCTATGGAGGCCAGAAGAGAGTATTGGATCTCCTAGGACTGTGGTTATAGACAGTTGTGGGCCGCCATGTGAGTGCTGGGAATCTAACGCAGGTCTTTTGGAACAACAGCCAGTGCTCTTAACTGCTGAGCCTTCTCAACTGAGCCAGCCAAAGTAAAATAAATCTTTAAAAATTTTTCTTTTGAAAAGTAGAAGTTCTTAATTTTAATATAATTTATTAACCATTTTTTCATGTAAACATCATATTTATTTCATGCTTAGTTTTGTAAAACATACAAATACCTAAGATAGGAATTACACTCTGGGAAATTAGAAAATACAGACCTTGGAGATAATTGGACAAACAGCTAGATAAGCAATGTATTTATTTCCTTGACCCAACATCATGAAGAACAGTTTTTGCTTAGCAGTGGTTCTCTCGGCCTTCCTGATGCCCCTACCCTTCAATACGGTTCCTCATGTTGTAGTGACCCCCAACCATAACATGATTTTCATTGCTACTTTATCACTGCAATTTTGCTGCTGTTATGAATCCAAAATGTACGCATCTGTGGTTTCCAAAAGTCTTAGTCATCCCCTGTGAATCACCCCCAGGTTGAGAACCACTGGCTTAGGAGCTGAACATGAAATGCAAAGATGGTTTGTTACCCTGTTCTCCTACCTGCAGGTTCTGCAGCTGATGCTGTGAGGATCCAAGCTGACCCATGTGAGGGACTGGACCTGATCTTTTGCATTTGGAAGCACTGACAGGAGTCTTACATTACAGGTTACTCAGCGGTCGTTATGACCTCCCGGTTACGTGCGTTGGGTGGAAGAATTAATAATATACGAACCTCTGAATTACCCAAAGAGAAAACCCGATCCGAGGTCGTCTGCAGCATACGGTTTTTAGATGGCTTGGTACAGACCTTTAAAGTTAACGTAAGTGCTTCACTTTCTGTGTAAATCCTCTTAAATAGTTTTAAGTTCTTGGCCTCATATGGTGAGACTCGGCTGGGCATAGCTTGCAACCTTTGCCCTGCCTCACCTTTTCCATTCTTCTGAGGGATATGAATCTCCTGGTGTCTTCCTATGTTGATGTATCTGATGTTTTCCCCTGCCCCTCAGGCAGAACTGGTCTTTGGATGACTATGCTCTGTACATGATGTATCGAGTCCACGTGACTCTACGATGTTAAAAATAGTAAAAATGACTAGGTTATAAGTCTCCTACTAAACTGTGAACCCCTTGAGGACAGGACAGGTGTCTTGGTACAGGACTGCATATGCAGCTGTGCTCTGTGAGATGGTCAGCCTCATGGATTGCAGGGCTCCTAAAGGTCCTGGCTCCTGCTCAGAGCCCTTGATCTCAGGTTTTCACGTAAGTAGCTGTGAGAGGCAAGAGCAGCAGCTGCCTCAGCTGGCTCCACACCCAAGCACCACACATCACCTAGCCTAAGACTTCTTTGTGTCTCTCAGTCCTAATAGCATCAAGTCCAGCCCCTAGCCACCTGTGCCCCAGTTTTTAAAGTGTGTGCAGAGAAAGAGAAGGTTGGTAGAGGAGACAGACTGGATATGGTGGTAAATACCTGTGATTCAGTGCTTGCGAAGTGGACTCAGGAGGAGCAAAAGTTTGAGGCCAGCCTTGGCTACATGACACTCTGTCTTAAAACAAACAGATACAATCTGGGGTGAGGTGGGGTGGGGGCATTGACCAGGAAATGCCTTAGCACATAAACCATAATTAAGTCAGACAGACCCCTGCTGTAGCTGCTACCGTTCTACCACCCCACTTTCTTCTCCTTTGACAAGGACTCACTATGTAGCCCTGGCTGGCCTAAACTCACTAGGTAGACTAGGCTGGCCTAGAAATCGGAGGAAAGGCTTGGATCACCATCTTTGCATTTTTTAACCCAGTCACAAGATATCTCTCTCCTCCCTCTCTCTCTCACTCTCTCTCTCTCTCTCTCTCTCTCTCTCTCTCTCTCTCTCTTTCTCTCTGTGTGTGTGTGTGTGTGTGTGTGTGTCCGGTCCCATTAGTGATCTTGGTGCAGGCAGAAGGTAATTTTCAGTTCTTCCAAACCAAGGCCAGGACAGCTACCCCATACATGTGTGTGTGAATGTCCTCAGCAGCACACAGGACTCAAGTGCCAGCCAGCAATCAGTGGCAGTGATTAGTGGAGATGTGTTTCCATACCTTCTTCCCCACCACCCCACTCAGTTCTTCAACTGTCTCTAAGGCCATGCTTTGTTCATCTGAGAATGGGACGAGTTATTTATTGTATCAAGAAAGAGAAGGACAAGATAGCTCAGTGAGTGAAGGTGCTTGCCACCAAGCCTGGACCCACATGGTGGAAGGCGAGTACGTCTGGAATGGCAGAGGAGAGCCAGAGGAAAGTAGTACATCTGGAATGGCAGAGGAGAGCCAGAGAAAAGTGAGATCAGAGGTACCAAGCAGGGTTGGAGATGGGAGGCCAGCTGGAACCTGGGCGCACTGGCTTCTACACTGGATAGAAGACCTAACATGGCCTGATTTAAGGGTCACTGGGTCCACAGCAACTAGTCTATAGCAGCAGTCCCCAAGCCAGGTTCTGATGGTCAGAGAGCAGTGTTAGGGGCTTGGCTGGAACATGGTGCCTGGAAGGTGCCAACAGGACTTGCTGGCAGGGTTCCCTGATTGGTTTGCTGCTCTAGTTTGTCTTCTCTGTATTCCCCTTCCCTCATTTTTCCCCCTGAGATGTGGTCTCACCATATATCTATCCCCTGCTGGTCTGGTCAGTATGTGGAACAACGGTGACTCAAACTCACAGAGATCCACTTGCCTCTACCTACCTCTCAGGCGCTGGGATTAAAGGTGTTCTATTTGGTTCTATTTTAATTCTTTTGGGAAGGAGGAGAATTGAGCAGAATTGATACCTGCATGTATGGATTCTGCAGTTCAGAGGTGAAAGACTCAATCCAGCAAGAACATAGGGCTTTGGTGTTGCACTGATGCGAGTCAGATGGTCAGGTAGCTACTGGGTGATAGGGTGGGAATTCCAGGCATGGCGCCTCCCAGTGTCTGGTTCTCAGTGGCAAGGCAGATGTTGAGGGCTACTTTGCAGAGTTGCAGCAAAGTGAGTGTGGTATCATATCTTTGCAGGTATGTGATAAATTACATTTGCTAATGACATAATCCAAGTTACATAAATGATATCCTCAAATGTATAAGGAATAATTACAGTAAGGTGAGAAGGTAGCTTTGATACTTTGAGTGTCTCCGGCCTGGGAGATGGCTCAGTACATAAAGTGCCTGCTTGCAAGCATGAGGACTCCGGATCTCCAGAAAACCCATAAAAACTGCTGATGCTGCATGTGGCTGCAACCCTGCACTAGGGTTGGGTGTGGGAGATGGAGATGGGAGTACCCTGGGGCTCACTGGCTGAAACAGAAAGCTTAAGATTCAATGAGAAATTCTGTCCCCCAAAATGAGATAAGAGTGATTGAAGATATCCCACCATCAACCTTTGGCCTATAGACAACACACACACACACACACACACACACACACACACACACACACACAGTATCTGGTAACTCGGGGGAATTGGTAACTTGAGGGAACCGGTGGACTGTATTGTTTTTACCCATAGAGACTTTCTTGTGATGGATGGTGGCAGGTTCTGGAGCCTTCAAGATACAGGTAGTGCATCCTGGAAACAGGCAAGTCTCATGCTCTCACACAACAGACCAGATTCTATGAAGTCACCCCAAAGATGTTGCTGCAGGAATGTCCTCAAGTTACCTAACTGCAGGCCCTGGTCACTGTGACCCACTTTCCACAGGTTACCTGCTCTCAAAAGCTCCCAGGGAGAGCCTCTTCTGTACCTGTCTATTTCTGACTTGCATTGTCCTGAGTTAAATGGTTGGGTTCAAAGCATTCCTGGGAGAGCGACCTCTTAAAATAGAATCTGAAATCTCCCAAATGTTCCATGCTGTTTTTGTGTGTGTGTCTCACCCTCACCCCCAAAGCCATCTTTTGTTTGTGCCATCAGCTTCAAACTGGGTGCACCCACTAGATGAATGGGAGGAGTGACACTCCACCCTGTCATCCCCCCTAAACATAGGGAGGGGTTCCTTATCCCTGCCCCCAGGAGGACCCCACTGTTCATGCTGTCCTCTAAGGAATCTATCTACAGTGTCTTGACTGGTTCAAAGCACTTGACAGCGTTTGACACTCCATGTTAGTCACCACCTCTACAGCCGAGAAGGAGAGAGATGCTTACTGTGGCTCTGTCCCAGTGCCCACATCAGACTGCCCCATAAACACTGGAGCAGGCCGCTGAGTCCCACTCTGGAGTGAAGTGTGGCTGAATGTCCCCACCGGCTTCTCACTTCAGATGACTGAGAAGCATCAGGGCAGATAATCCCACAGGGGGACCTAGGCCAAGTCACTTTGAGGGTATTTTGGATGGCATTTGAGTATTTTTAGCTGTTAGTGAAGAGTTTTCCTCCCTGCACACTCTCTGGGTTCCTCCAGGGGAAGGAGCTGCAGCTAGGGTGCAAGCAGCCAGAAGGAGCTGACCTGGGATTAGCATTTGCTGTGGGTAATCCGCAGCAGGTCATGGTGTGTTTGCTGTGTAATGTGTGAGTTTTCCAACTTAGAAGTCACTAGAGAACCTCAGCTAAGGGGTAGAAGGAACTTAGAAAGCTCAGTTAAGCTCACAGTGGTGGGTGTGTGTGTGTGTGTGTGTGTGTGTGTGTGTGTGTGTGTGTGTGTGTACACGCGCGCACGCATGCACATGCATGTGGAGGCGATGTTATTTCTCAGAAGCCATCACAGAGTCATTCATTGACTTGGAGCTTGGTAAATCGGCCAGGTTAACTGACAGGTGGAGCCAGGAGCCAATTTTGGGTGACTTTCATTGCGCTCTACCTTATTTTTATACATTTTATCTGTCTCTCTGTCTATTTATTTGAGACAGGGTCTCACTATGTCGACAAGGCTGGCTTCAAATTCACAGAGATCTGCCTGCCCCTGTCTCTTGAGCACAGGCATTGAAAATGTGCATCCACTGAGATTTATTTTTATTTATGTGTCTCTGTGTTAATAGTGCACATGCAATCAGAGGCCAGAAGAGGGTGTTAGGTCCCCTGTAGCTGGTGTTATAGGTGTTGTGAGCTGTCCAGCTTCATGCTAAGAACAGAACTTCAGTCTTCTGCAAGTGCAGGAAGTACTCAGCCACTCCAGCCCCTGCCTTGAGTTTTTTGAGACATAATCTCACTGAACCTGTAGCATACATATTTGGCTAAATTGTTTGGCCAGCGATCTCTAAGGATGTGTTTTCCCCCATACACGCATGGATTGTAGGGAGATGAACTCAGATCCTCACTCTTGTAAGGCAAGCTCTTTACTGACTTACTTTTCTCCCTGGTCTCCTAAACTCAGTGTCTCAAATCATATTTATATAGTTTGTCTTAACCCTACTTTGTAACCCTCTTGCAGCCTTGTAACTTGAAATTTATGCTTTTGTTACTTTGGGAAGTATATATTCATAAACTCTATAAAGATTTTAGTTTTCCTCTGCATACAGTAAAAAAAAAAAATGTTGCTTCTAGTTCTTGGTTCATTTTAACACTTTCTCCTCTTGATGTTTTCTGACCTAGAAACAAGATTTGGGCCAGTCACTTCTGGACTTGGCATACGGCCACCTGGGTGTGACGGAGAAGGAGTACTTTGGCTTGCAACATGGTGATGACCCAGTAGACTCCCCTGTAAGTGTTCACACATAAGAAGTGCTGCTTGTCTGCTTGGGTTGGTCTCATAGCTTATGTTTTCTCACTCAACAGAGATGGCTTGAGGCGAGCAAACCCCTCAGGAAGCAGCTGAAAGGTAGGTATGATCTCACTTGGGTGTGTGGCCATCTGTCTTCTCCTCGGGGAGTTAAGGGGCAGGGCCAGGGAGAGATGATTCAGCTGTGCTTCAGAGCAGCCTTAAGCATCCCAGCTGTGCAGAAGGGTGAGGGGAGAGGAGGCAGCTCACAACAAGGGAGCCTTCGCTTATGTTTATAAGGGAGGAAATGGATGAAGGATGGGCCCATAAGAAAGAGACATAAAAGGGCTGGGGTGATGTCTTAGTTGGTAATATGCTGGTTGTACAAGCTTAAGCACCTGAGCTGGGATCCCCAGCACCAACGTAAAAAGCTGGTACTGTGGTGCATGCCCAGTGCTGGGAGGATGAGACAGGGGGATTCTTGGTCTTTGCTGGCCAGACCCTCTAGCCCAATGATGAGCTCCAGGTTCAGTAAGAGACCCTGTCTCAAAAAACTAGATGGAGATACCTGAATTCAGCCTGTGGTTTCCACGTGCACATACAGACACCTGCACACACGTGCATGTATGCTCACACACATACACACACATCTACTCATGCATGCACACACACACACACACACAAAGAGAGACAGATGTAAACCCTCATACTTTCCAACAGCACAGATGCTGGCTCATCCATCCTGAGTGAGCCCCTGTGTTGCTTTCAGCTCCCAGTGGGACAGTTACTCCAGTCATGCCCAGCCTACCTTCTGGCCACCCCTCCTCAGCCTAGCTTCCCTCGTGGCTCTCATTGGCCCTGATAGGTACCTGTTGTTCCAGACTAACTTGACCAGTCTACAGGACTTCCTCTGAACTGCCCTTCAGTCTCCTTCCTCTGTAAAGAATGCTTTTCCTCTTGACCCAGAGTCCACCTCCTGCCGTTCCTCAGGGTTCCACATATATCTCCTTTTACCTGAAGGGAAGTGCATACTCTCCCCTTCCCTTTCTTTTCTTTGACCACTCTTCCTGTTATCTCACAGTGTTTTAACTGCCTTTCAGGACTTTACTCTTATTGCATTCTTCTCTGTCCCCTTCGTGATTCTTGACACATAGGAGATGGCCAATCACATGAGGCCTAGGTAGTTATTATCTGTCATTCTCTCCCTGACTCGTTCTTGCAGCAAGCACATCCCTAGTGCTCAAACCAAGGCAAAGCACTGTGTTAATCCTGGGAAATGCAGTCGAAACCAGATTTGACCCCTGCTCTCATGGTCAAGTGTAGAAGTTGAAAAGAAGAGTTCTATGATAGGACTATCATACTCACATGTGCGTTCGTGTACACACACACACACACACACACACACACACGCGCGCGCGCGCGCGCGCGCGCGCGCGCGCGCGCATACTTATGCTCTGAGTCCACAGAAGAACCAAGAAAGACAACGAAACCATGCCTGAAACACCAAAGTAACAAATGGTGGAAGGGGGAAGACTGGAGATGTGAGAGAATGGGGAACTTTGCTATGGAGCTAGCGCCACCCACTGGTAGCTAGGTGTGTATACAAAGGCACACCCACCCACCATTAAAGACTCTTCTTGCACCAGCTCAGAGGTGACAAAGGAAGGAACTAAGAGATGACAGAGTGGAGCTGGGATGAACCAAGGCAGAAAACCAAGGCAGATGAGCAGAAGGATTAGCCAGCTGGGCAGATCACACAAGGACTTGGATTTCAGAGAGCACTTCGTGCTACTTGAGCCTGTAGACAGGACCTGGGCATATTTACCAAGTGTCAGAGACAGGGTGAACCCAACAAGGTCGGGTCTCCCCATGACTTGGCAACAGTCGGATCTTCAATCAGACATGTGGCTAGTTTTATCCCACAAGCAAATTGGCCCTTGGTGTTGATGTCTAAGTCACATCTGAGTGGTGTAGCCCTCTGGATCACAGTGACTGTTGTGATGGCCATTGAAATTGCAAAAATATTTTCCAGTTTAAAAAAAAATAAAATAAAAAACTGGTGCCTAGTCAGGAGAGCCATTTACATCCCTGTCTGTAAAACAGATCCACTGAGCCCGCAGGTATGTGTTTAAGTTCTAGAGGCTACAGGAAATGCTGCAAAAGCGTAAGTCACTATGTAAATGCAGGCTGCTTCAGTTCTTTGTGAATTTTATGGATCGATGCTGGGTTATTTGTTTTGTTTTTCGAGACAGGATTTCCCTGTTTACTTTTGTAGACCAGGCTGGCCTCAAACTCACAGAGATCCGCCTGCCACTGCCTCCCAAGTGCTAGGATTAATGGCATGCACCACCACTGCCAGGCTGATCAATGTTGGTTTTAAGACTTTTACACATTCCTAATACAGAGATCACTATTTGAACAGGGCCCTAAAGCAGACATACAACCAGAAGTAGGTATCACAGTGGAGCAGATGCTATGTAGGTACTTTTGGTGTGTGTGTAGGCTTCTGAAGCATTAGCTTACACACTCTGGATCTGAAATTGGGGCTTTTATAATGGAAAATATTGTGGTTAAGTGAGAAGTACTCCTTTTATGGGAGAGTAGCGACTGTGTTCATTGACTTTTAAAGGGAAAACCTAACTTGTTTTTCAAAAATGTTATAGGAGGTTTCCCCTGTACCCTGCATTTTCGAGTAAGATATTTTATACCTGATCCCAACACACTGCAGCAGGAACAAACCAGGTAATAACCTTATTCTCTTGAAGTTCTCTATCTAGTATATACAAATCGGTAGCCAACAAAAATGTGCTCTTTATTTTCTAGCTATGGACACATAACTTGATTTGGGTATGACCTCCCCAACAATCATGATCCAAGAAGAAATTGGAGTTACATAGACTGAAATTTTAATCAGCAGTCTTGTTTTCAGTTTGTGGTCTACATCTCGCAGCCCCAAACTGGTGTAATTTCCTGCACGTGGGCACCCTCTCTCTCTTCTCTCCTCTGTCTGGTAAACGTTGTGAATATTAAGGGTGCTGAGTCAGTTCTTCTCAGGCAGGCCTGTAGTAGAGCGGTCACCCATAGGGTACATAATCTGGAATCTGAGGGGCTAGAGTGAATTCCCTTGAGGATGACAAGCTTAGCTGTAACCAGAATGTTCCATCAGGTCCCCTTTTGCAGGGGTGAGGAAGGAGAGTGCTGGACCCAGCTTGTCTTCTGGATGAATCAGCAGGTGCAGGAAGTTTGGGAGGCAGATGGGGGGTGGCAGTGATAGGAGCTGTTTACCCAAGGAGCTTGCAGGCTGTGCTGGCTCTGGTTGGCCCTGAAAAGTGGGTTTTCTGGGTGGAGAAACTGGGGCATGCAGGATGGGAAGGGTTCAGTAAGAAAGCCGTTGTTGCCTTGGCCTGGAAGACCATGTCAGCCATTTCCCCTGTCTTATGGCCACTCTGAGCCCCTTTGTAACTGTCTCCCTGGGAAGAAAGAGGCTGTTCTGGATTATTGAATCTCATTTTATGGTAGAAAATCCCGCCAAAGAGATGCCATTAACTCAGACATAGACTGCTCTCTCATTTTTTCTTTCTTCTGTTTAATGGCAATTACACAATCATAGCTTTTAATATGTTTAAATGCCAGTTGTTCGTTTGTTACTCTGTTTTTCCTTCTTGTGTATGTGCTTCTTTCCTCCAGAGGCAGCTCATGGGGCCGGACTGTGTTTATCTTTATGGTAAATGTGAAGCCTGTGTGAGGGAAGCCTTGGTAGCTCCTTGGGAAACCACAGTGAAGTGTATGCTGCTTTGAATCATTTTGGTGTACTGCACTACCTACCACCACCCCACCCCCACCACAGCACAAACACATCAGAATACCACCACCACATCACCTCCCCCACCATACCACCACAACTACCACAACACCCACACCATGCCACACCACCACTACACCAAATAGCCACCATCACAATATAACTTTACTCAGGTGAACTAGGAACATTGGTGAGATACTCAACCCAGCATGTCACGTCGTAAGCTAACTGACACAAAGCTGGTGGCATCATCTGTCAGGATGTGTTTTAAACTACCCTACCAAGGTTTCCTCAGAACACTCTGGTATAGCAGACTCTGGTTGAGGGATGCTTAACAATTACAGGAGGAGCCCAGCACAATGGTACACACCTGTAATTGGGGAGGTAGATGAAAGAGGATCCCTTGCGCACAGTTTAAGGCCAGCCTAGGCAACATAGCAGTATTCTGTCTCAAACAAAACCAACCAACAAACAAACAAACAAAACCCTTGAAGAATTATATATGTACATGTGCTCGTGCTATTTTTTTCTTTTCTTTTTATTTTTTTAAAGTGCATGGTGACTCACCAAATTGGTTTCACTCAGCTAAAAAGTCCCAGCTCATGTATGGTGACCGTCCATACTGTCTCATTCCATACTGTCTCATTCCTGGAATGCTGGAGCCTCCGATGTGTGACACCATGTCGGGCATGCCTAGAGTAGAAAGGCCTGAGGGAGATGCTTCCAGGGCCAACCTTATCTCATGGTCTCCTCCAGTGCCCTTCATGGCCATCAGCTTCTGTACCCCACAGGAAAGAAGCTGAGATCTTGTGGAGTGAGTCTTCCTGCCCCCAAGGGACATCTAGGGAAATGTAGGGCAGAGAGAAGTCTTGTGGAGAAGTGAGGCCACCTTCAGATCTCCAGAGGAGCTGCAGAGATGGGGAGCAAGTGGGGCTACAGTGGGGATTGGATTTTAGCTGGAGATGAACGATAGACTAGTGTTTGTCCTTACCTGAGTTACGTGTCAGTTACTCTTCAGAGTCCCGGGTTCTGATAGGATACTCCTACCTGAAGGTGCACAATGTACAGTCCACTATAGCTGCTTCCTCCTGAACAGTGGGTTCCAGGTGTCTCACTCAGCAGGAACTAGGGCTGCAAAGTGTTCCTATAGCCAGTGAATGGCTGGGACTATTTCATCTTTATATTATGTACAATAATATAATGCCTGCAGTCCAGAAGAAGGTACCAAATCTCATTCCAGATGGTTGTGAGCCACCATGTGGTTGCTGGGAATTGAACTCAGGACTTCGGAAAGAGCAGCCAGTGCTCTTAACCTCTGAGCCATCTCTCCAGCCCTTGTATTTGTAATTTATAGAAAGGGTTTTACCTCTATTCCTGGCACATGCAATCTTCTTATGCTCTAAGTTTGCAGCCTCTCCAAAGAGGAGTTTCATTTTAAGGAAACTTGGCTCCCAAGAATCAAAGAAGGGCTGGGTGTTTGGGGGGGGGCACACCTTTAATTTCAGCACTTGGGAGGCAGAGGCAGGTTGTCAAATAGAGAAGCCCTGTCTCAAACCACGCCCCCCTGCAAAAAAAAAGAATCAAAGAAGGAATGCAGTGATGATGGTATGATATTGGTTGTTTTGTTTTTCATCTAGACAGGAAGACAAGTCATTGTTCTTTTTTTTTTTTCCTGAAGTTGAGGTCTGTTCCATTTAAAATTCTGTTACTGTGATAAAACACCCTAACCAAAAGCAACATAAGGGAGGAAGGGGTTTGTTTCAACTCACAGTTCCAGGTTAAAGCCCATCACTGTAAACAAGTGAAGGGAAAAATGAGATAGCCGGTCATATCACATCCACAGTCAAGAACATGGATGTTCGATTGCTTGCTCGTTTATGTTCAGCTCAATTTCTTCACTCCTGCACAATTTAGGAACCCCTTCCTAGGGAAAGGTGCTGCCCACAATGGTCTGTGTCTTCCCATATTAATTAACTTATTAAGGCCATTGCCACAGACGTACAGGCCAAGATGATGTAGACAGTACCTCATGGAGATTCTTCCCAGGTGATTGTAGTTTGTGTCAGATTGACAGTTAGCCATCACAGGATCTGGATGAAGTACGCTCTCAGAGAGGGTCGAATGCTAGACATGCCAAGTCACTCCCGTTGGTAGCTTTCCTTTCTTTATTCTTGTGGGCACTTCCGTGTCTGTTTATTGTGCGCCTCCACAACTGCTGTGACTGATAAATTTAGGTCATTCTAAGCAGTGTTCCACTTACTGACAATCTCTAATTACAATTTGAACTCCTTGGGGAAAATAATAAAACCTCCTAATTTTGGGGTGCAGTGCATTCTATGATTCCCATTTCTTTACACGTGATCCTGTGGGGTTGACTCAGATTTGCTCTGCAAAGGACCAGGTGGCATTTGGTGAAGGATCTCTGAATGTTCAAGATCTCATTTATGTCCATCAGTAAAAGCCTAGGTTTTATCAGTGGATCAACTATAGCTCTGCCTCTTTCTTCTTTCTCCCAGTATCCTTCCAGGAGGAGAGAACACTTAATTCTGGTTGAATGTTAGCTTGGATAAACATAGAAACCAACTAGAAAGAACTGGTTATGTTCTCCTAGGTGGAAAAGATGATCCCACTACTGAGTGGGCATGAATTAGCACAAGTATTTTATTACTTTTCTTATTGCTGTGACCAAATCCTTAAGAAGAAGAAGAAGAAGAAGAAGCTACTTAAGGGAAGTGGGTTTGTTTTGACTCACAGTTCTAGAGGCTCCAGTCCGTCATGATAGAAGGCCTGGCGGTGGGAGGGTGAGGCAGCTAGCTGATCACATTGTGCCCACAGTCAGGGGCACTAGTTAGTGTTCGGCTCACTTCCTCCTCCTATTCAGTCTGAGACCTCAGTCCGTGAATTATTCATCAGATTATTCACCAGTTATTTATCACCAGATTCAGGGTGGGTCTTCCTTCTTCAGTTAAACCTTCTGGAAAAACCATCAGATACACCCAGAGGTGTGTTTCCATGGTGATTCTAAATCCAGTCAAGTTGACAGAAAGGTTAACCACTCTTACACCCATGTGACTAATACCATCTATCGATGCCCTAGGTTCAACATTACACAGTGTGTTGATAATAGATCCTAAGCTTGGTAGTGACTTATATGAAGCACATAGATATTGTTCTCATAGCATGCATGTCCAGGCTAAAGGAAAGCAAAGCTAATCCATAAAATGTGTCTGAGTACCGGTTTTCCTAGACTGGCAATTCTGACTGTAGAGAGTTCATTGAGATGTATAGCCTCTAGGTCTGCTTAATTTTGTAGTGTGATTTCTTTTTTATTTGTGAGTTCTTTATCATGAAGTTTTAGTAAGTTACATTGGAGATGGTGTTATAGCTTCACAGAGTCACTGGGAGGCTGAAATGAGGAAGAAAGCCTCAGAGTCCCAGGCACCCAGCCCCAGGCTGCAGATAGGAGGTTGCAATACTGTCTGAAGCATCCAGGGCTCAAAACAGCCAGCTCCCTGACCTTTCTCAACCCCAAGGAATATGAGACTGGTTTGTTTAAATTGCCAGAGTGATCTCTCTCCTGTCCCCAGCACTTCTGCGCTTGTCTGTATTAGCTTTCAAGAGGTTTCCCTTTTGTCATCTTTGGCCAGACCCTGGAATGTCAATCCCGCTTGAATCTGGGTTTTAAAAAAGAGTGGGGGATAGGAGCCAAGCGTCACATGTATGCCGCGTCCCTAAATATAAATGCCTCCATGGTGCTTCCTGGCCTTGCCAGGCCTGTGGGTGTTGGCCTCCTTTTCCCCTATCTGCCCCAGGGCAAAAGGAGCCTGGAACAGTTTGCCCCCAAGGCAGCTCTGGGCTTTCAAAGCTGACTCTGCTGCTCTCAGGTCCTGGTGACTAGGCTCCCAATACCTTTGCTCCAGCACCCATAGTTTTTAGGCTATAGGACAAAGCCCAGCTGGAGGTTGCACCCCAGCTAAGGCATGATCTTCACAGGCCCACCTCCTCTTAGTTGCACACAGAGGAACAGGGGCGGGGTAGGGGGAGTGTATACATGACCATTCAGTGTTTAGAGCAGCAGCCTGTGAGTGTCTGTGGGCAGCTTGTACACAATGCTGTGGGTCCCCCTGCCTAATTAAGAAGGCCCATGCAGCAAGTAGAGCACCCTTGACTCCTACCCCATCCATCCCCTCAGCCCTCCCTAGCACGGGGCACCTAGGCAGTTCACAAATGGGTAAAATGGTATTTGCATACATATATTCCAGTTTTCAAATGTGCATTTTTGTTGTTGTTGCTCGCTTATTGCATTCTGAGCATTCATTAACAAACACCGTTGTTTCCTAGGCATTTGTATTTCTTACAACTGAAGATGGATGTTTGCGAAGGAAGGTAATGAGAATTTCATATTCTTCTTTTCCTGTCAGACTAGCCAGATTCCTGGTTTTAATCTAATGAGCATTCATTCCTGGCAACAGTATTCAATTTAAACAAAGCCCGTACGTTGGGGGCTGTTTTCAACTCCATCTTGGTTTACAGAGGCTAACAATCGAGAAATTTTGTTCCATACTGCGATTTTATTACAAAAGATACAGTGATCTTTCTCGTAAAGACTTGGGGCATTTTAAGAGGACAGGAAAGACCCTGGATGTAAAATGGGCCTCAGGTCAGGTAGCAAATGGGTATGAATTAGAGGCACTTCTGAGCCCGTGGTACTTCTGGGTGATTTATCTTCTCTCTAGAAGCAGCTGTGTTCAGACGTGAGCATCTGCTTGTGAGTCAGTGCTCTGGGTGTATCCAGACCATCTCAGTGCTTGGAAGGTAGCTGAGAGTGAATAGAAAGGGAATTGAAATTCCACAGAGCCCCCCATCTTCTTCTTTTTTTTTCTCCATTTTTTTTATTAAATTAAAAACAAGATTGTTTTACATGTCAGTCCCCGTTCCCTCTCCCTCCCTTCCTCCCCTGCCCCCCACTAACACCCTACTTCCCATCTTCTTTTTTTTAAAAAATATTTTTGTTTATTATTTTTAGAGATAGGATGAATGCGCACACATGTACGAGGGCGAATGTACCTGTGCGTGCGTGCGTGCGTATGTTCTTGTGTGCATGCACATGCCTGTGTGTGTGCATGTATGCGCCTACCTACTGAGCCCTCTCACCTGCTGGCCCCTTAGCATTTTCTTGCCTTATAAAAAAATCCCAAAGAGCTCCATCTACTTCCATTCTCCTTACCCCCACTTCTTCCTGTGACTTCAGCTCTACAGCAGAGAGGGTCATCAGAGGCCATTGGCCTGATGCACCACAAGGAGGCTGGCTGTTAGTTGTGACTGGTGACATGAGACAGAAGCCCATGAAGCAAGTGAGACCATTATGGGCAGTGGGGAATCACAGTTAGCCTAGGATTTCAGGAGCTCTGATGCTACTGTGGCCTAGAAAAGTCTCTGTGGGTTGCTGGGGGTAAGCCAAAGTTAGGGTTGGTGGGGAAAATAAAAATGAGATTTCCCTGGACTGCCAGAAGGCCCTCCCATCCCCCATTCCAGCTGGAAGCCATTTGTGGTTGACTTAGAGGAAAACGGAGAGAGGGGGGGCTTTGCAGACCGAGTGGGGGCATGTGTGTCACATCCACCAGACAGAGGGAGCAGCTGCAGGGTCTTAAAGCAGAGGTCAGGCTATGGTAAGAGACAAATCCACAGACATGGTGTCTGTGCACGAGGAGAGACTAACAGAGACTAGGGCTTCCCTCTGCTACAGTCCTGCAGACCAGAGACAGAAGCCTCCTTGAGGGGCTAGCCAAACTGTTAACTATTTAGTGATCACAGACTACCAGAGCTTCGTGAATTCTATGTATCCTTTCTCCAAAGTACATACCTTCTCCAGAACAACCTGTAGACCAGTGCTGGGGACTCCTCTTTTGCATTACGAGGCTGCCTCATTACACTTCAGGAGAACCCCATGTTCAAAAGCCCAACTCCTCTCTTGGACTGTTCTTGGCAGTCATGGATACCTGTTCAATGGCTCCCTTATGTGCAGACTCTTTGTTTTTCCATAAATACTGTTCTAGCACCTTTTGCTTTGGTTTTTTGGGTTCTTTTTGTTTGTTTGGTTGGTTGGTTTTGGTTTTTCGAGACAGGGTTTCTCTGTGGCTTAGGAGGCTGTCCTGGAACTAGCTCTTGTAGACCAGGCTGGTCTTGAACCCACAAAGATCCTCCTGCCTCTGCCTCCCGAGTGCTGGAATTAAAGGCTTGCACCACCACCACCTGACTTTCTAGCACCCATTTTATGAGGCAGGTTCCACCCTGTGCTGACCACCAGGCCAGGGCCTCCCCTTCAGCCTTCCTGTACTCCAAACTCTAGGACTATGTTGTCCTCCTTTTTGCGTTCCCAAATTAAGATACCCCTTGGAACATCCAGATGAGTTAGTAGGAATCTACACCCTGGAGTAGATCCCCATAGAGCCTTATCAGGTCTCCAGGTGGCCCTCACCACCTGCTGTCAGGCTCATCTCAGGTGTGTATCCAGCCATCTGTGGCCAAGGATATTGTGATGCTGTTGGCATTTACCTTGAGATATCAAACCTTCTGACTTGTTTGAATAGTCTCCAGTACTGTAGGATCATCTCTTCTCTGCAGAGATGGGTCACCCAGGACAGTCCCTTCACTTGACACATGGAGGCCTGAACCACAGAGGAAAAGAAATCTGCATAGTAGCATATGGAATGCTGAGAGCAGCATACAGGCTGTTGTTGTTCTATATACTATGTATTTGAGCACCAACCATTCTTGGGAATTTTTTTTTCCTTCAGTCTCTATAGGATCTTTTCATCTAGTCTGAGCCTCCATAGCTTGTTTCTTGGCTGTCCGTCAAATCCACTCAGCTGTCCATCTTCTAGCAAAGACACTAGCTAGACATTAAGTGAAGCTCATATTAGTAGGAGAGTGACAGCTTGTACTCATCGCATACCTACTTGCTTTCCTGAAGATGCTCAAGATGGGTAGATAATGAGCAACCGTGGGATACATCCATAGACTCAGAGAGACACATGTTTCTGCAGGGACACACAGAGTTACTCATGGGATCAGGGGGCCTTCAGATAGGGGCGCTACCTTCATATGCACCTTAAGAGCCAGCAGGAGTACAGTGGACAGAAAGGGAAACTGTTGAGGGCCAACCCGATTAGACAGGCAAGTGATGACTCACACGTGGGAACTTCATAGGCTGCCATGGAAACTACATGTTCTCTCAACTTGCCACAGGGCTGGAAGATGCTTTTAAAATCTCATTGTCTCCCAGTGTTACTGGTAAGGATGCCTCCCTTTCCCAATTGGTGCCCCTTACTTTTCCCATCCCATTCTTCTTCCACTCAGCAGTGGTTCTTGCTCCAGGTCTGGTGGCAGAGCTCTTGAGCAGACCACAGAGTCAGATTTGAATGGAGGGGGAAAAAAAAAAGAAAGACAGGTAATGTCATTGAGAACAGGCATTTGGGAGGACAGTGAGGTTAGCTGGAAATAAGAACAAATCCAGGCCGAGCCTGGATTCCTAGTGGGTGGCAGAAGACAGAGAAGCAGGCAGATGGTTGAATCCTGTAAACCTCAGCAAGGTCAGTAGTTTAAGAATAGTCAGTAATGAGCAAATTGAGAATGTGGGAAGAGGGGGGAGAAAGCTATGAGAGTGAGAAGGGAAGAAAAGGAAGGATGCAGAGGTCATGAGGAAGCAGAAATTTTGAGTCAGGTGTAGATTAGAAGAAAGGACATATGACAGGTAGGATTTTAGTTGGGGGGTGGTAGGGGAGGGAAGGGAGGGAGAAGGGAACTGGGATCGTCATGTAATTCAATCTTGTTTGTAATTCAAATATATAAAAAATAAATAAATAAATTGAAAAAAAAGTATTGATACTTTTAAACAGTAGTGGGAAGTAATAAAAAAATCATACCTGTTTTTTTTTTAAAAAAAGAATAGTCAGTAATTAGTGAATTAAGTAATTTAATCACAGAATTGCAAATGTTAAACTATAGAATACCTTTGATTTTTCCTTTTATTTTTCTATTTAAAAGGTGTCACCATTCCAGGAAGGAGGTGACCAAGAGTCCTAAAGGAGGTAGTCAGAGCCCAATAAGTCTGTATTAGAAAGATTGGAAGGCTACTTACATTTCGGATTCCATTTTCTCACTTTCCTTCTTGTAGTCTGAGCATGCCATTCCAACCCAAGATCACCAGCTTCCTGGTCTTTATGATAGTTATAATTTTAAACCCAAAGTTATGCGGTTTTTTTTTTTTTATCTTCAGAAAACTCTTTAATGTATTCCCTGTGCTATTTGAGATTGATTTGTATTGTAGTTGCCTTTAAGATTCATGTTGCTCATTAACAGTTAATGGGGAAAAGAAAGCCATGGGCTGTCTGTGATATATGAATGTCCATAGTTCTTCTGACTTAACTCATCCTCATTTCTCCTGACAGGTTAACGTGCCCTCTCAACTCAGCGGTGGTTCTAGCTTCCTATGCCGTACAATGTAAGTCCTGAGATTGACTAGGTAGTGGCCAGCTTGTTCCAGCTAGCTATTGAGAAAGCCCCCAGCTGCTCTCTTTGAGGGAGTCTCTTCGCCAGGATTCCTGGAACAGAGCACCTTGTGCTGTCCTCATAGTAAAACTTTCAACCTGAGCCACACTCTCCTCTTACTTGGGGATATCAGATGGACAGTGGTGCTGGGGGAAGGCGTGGTGTGGCATTTTTTTTTTCCCCCAGGGAGCTATGAAACAGCAGACAGCTACACCCAGCTTTTTCCAGAGCTTCTGCCCAGGTATTTGGATCTGGTCTCCATACAAACCCCTACGGAACAATATTTATATCTCTTGCCTCCTCTGGACATGGAAACTGAGACCCAGCTAGGTTAAAGAATTTGCTGGAAGGCACCCCTGCTGCTTGCCTGATGCCCATTTAAAATGCTATTGAGATCTTATGAATTGTTATTAAGAGCCTCAGTGTAGCTAATGGTTATGTACTGGTCTGTGACCATTCAGAAGCAGGAACATCAGAAGTTCAAAGTCATCCTTGGCTCCATGGTGAGTTCAAGGCCAGCCTGGATGACATGCGGCCCTCCTTAAAAAACAAAAGAAAACAAAAAAATATATATGAAGAAAATAATTTGAATGTTTTATTTAGCCCATTTAAATATTATTTTAATATACAGTCAGCATAAAAAATGAATGAGCTATTTTTGTTAGTTCTTTTTTTCTTTTTTTTTTTTTAAATTAAATTTTTGAGATCCCATCTTGGATTTGCAATTTCCACACTTTTACAATTGAACAAGCCACACATAATTACGGGTACCACTGTGGATAGAAAAGTCCAGATAGAGTTTTCCACCAAGACTGGTTTAAACTACAGAAGAAATTTCTTCATTCTGTCAGCAAAACTTAATTAATCATATTCAGTGTCAGATCCTGTAAATGGTGAAATACCACTTTGCCATTCATTGGGTTCGTGGTGCCAGCACAGACACCGTGCTACTTGTATTGAATTGTGTAGTAGCACACACAATTCTGCCTTTCCAGAAGTCTCAGCTGACATGGCAGGTGGTTAAGAAAGCAAGATGATGATGTCTCAGAGCAGGTGCAGACTAAATGACTTATCGTACTGTGGCCTCAGAAACATAATGGCAAAAAAAGGAAGGAAGGAAGGAAGGAAGGAAGGAAGGAAGGAAGGAAGGAAGGAAGGAAGGAAGGAAGGAAGAGAGGGACTGCTAAGGTGTGTTTCCTTCCTTAGCAATAAGGACAGACACAGGAGAGGTGAGGAACAAAGCTGGTGAAGCCGCAGCTAAACTGCCTACTGCAAGGGACCAGAGAGTGGGAGAAACAGGATGTTGGGTTTGACCCCATGATGTTGAGCCATAAATAAGGTTAGGCTCCTAACTGGAAAGATGCCCAGCATCAATCAGCTCCATCTTACCTGCCTCCCTTTTCAGGATGGGAAATTCAAAAGAGGTTGCTTTCTTCCTACATTACCAGCTGTGGCATCCACATGGGGAATGGCACAGTGTGTGACTTTTCCCAGGAAGACGTGAACCTACAGATAGGGTACCAACAACAGACCAAAGAAACTATTCCGTCCAAGTCCAGCTTCGTGAGCCCCTGGGCTTATACTTTAAAGGAGCATGGCTGACTTTAAAAAGGGCTGCTTCACTGAAATTCCACCCAACATGGATGATGACCTCTCAAAAGCCGCATGAATGGAGCCACCCCATCAGTTAACATCCACATACTGTGTACCAGGAAGAGCTGAGGCAGGATGGCATGTAGCAGGTAGTGAGTAGGCAGGAGAGAGTGAGTGGCTGGAATCTCAAGTGACGACCTAATGGCCCTCCTCCCTCCCTCTAGAAGGGAAAGTTAATGGGCACCGTCTTGTGAGGCTCCAGGACAACAGTCACGCTGCTGCTATGATTAAGATGGTGCTGACCAGGAGGGCAGTGTTCTATAGCATACAGCCAGAGTCAGCATGTTCTCAGCTGTCTCTAGATTTGTAGCTCCCATTTTTTCCGGCTGATCAGAGGCAGGGACTTTCTCACGTTGAAGACGGAGGTGGATGCTCACCACTAAGCATCAGGGCTGAGAGACAAGAACTTGAGGAAGGCAACAATTGTGTTGAGTTTAATCCGGTCCTATTCATTTGTCACTGTGTGATATCACCTCGCTGAACCTCCGGCTTCCCACCTGGGAAAGGAGGTGATGCTGGCACTTGTACCAACTTGGCAATGTGGCTGCCTCACTAAGGTGGCCTATAGTAAACAATTCCTCATAGTTGAACCAGCAGTGACTGAGTAGGTGAGAATAGGGATGGAAACCTTGTTGCCTGGGTCTTGGCTTTTCTCTTATCTGCATGACCTGACCTTCCAGGCCTCATGTGTTGAGCAGGGCTAGAAATGTCTGTTCTGCTTTGGAGAGTCATCGGGAAGAGAGCACAAACCACTGTATGAAGAACTCTTTGCATAGACTTAACTCCAGGTGTCTTTTCCTGTCAGTCCAGAAGAAAACTGTGTTGTCTATAGGGTGGGATTAAAGGCGTGTGCCACCAACGCCCGGCTTTTATTTTGTTTTTTTGAGACAGGGTTTCTCTTTGTATCTCTGGCTATCGTGGAAATCACTCTGTAGACTAGACTGGCCTTGAACTCCAGAGATCCACCTGCCTCTGCCTCTGCCTCCTGAGTGCTGGGATTAAGGGAGTGCCACCACCGCCTGGCATGCATACATTTCTTATAGGATTAATTCTTAGATTTAAAAGTAGTGACTTAGAAGGTATACTAACTACATTTTTATCTGATACATTTTGGCGGTTGTTCCAAGATGAGTGTCCAATATTTAAGTCCTGCCTGTGATCTGCTAACCAAAGCACATTTTCTTATTAGATTAAAATGCACAGTATTCGAGAGATAAAATACTTTCAGCATAGTGGCTGAAGATTGCTGCTGGCTAGTCAAGGGCTTATGAGGCACATGAAAAGATTTAGGAAGTATGTAGTTTCTCCATAATGTTTTCTGCCACAAGCAGGTACTGGACTAGCCTCGGGATGAAGGAAGTTCGCTGCTCTCCCTAAGGACTCCACATCTTGCTGGGGATGCTGGCTCTGAAGAAGAGCAGAGTATGATCCCTACGCAGCTTGGGGAAGGGAAGGGAGTCTAGAAAAGTTATCAGAGGAAGGAGCCCCAAAAGGAGGCTTGAAGATCAAGCTAGAATTGGAAGACTAGCTGGTTGAGGACTTGCCCATTGGGGCCAGATTGGTCACTTGAAACATGGGTACCTGGGGTCTCAAGTTGTCAGTAGGCCCCTATAGTGGGGAGTCTATGGATGTAGATCTTGCCTCTTGTTCAGTCTTCTTATCTGTTTAATAGGAATAAAAGCATTATCCATGATTTTGGGGAGTGTGCGGGCATTTGCTGAAACCCTCCAGAGAGAGAATGTCAGTGATACCCTTTGCAGCCCCCTCCCACCTCCCCAGGCTTTTGCAAATCTGTCTGTTGTGGCTGTTAACGTTTCCCCCTAGTGGTTATCCCAGAGCTCTGCACTGGTTATGTTAAGATCAAAATGTTTGTCAGTGACTTTGCTAAAGCAAGAAGCTTATAGTTTGTTTATTCCTGTCAAATGAAAGTTGGGTTGGGACAACTAGTTAACTTATTCAGAAGGCTCTCCGTAAGCTAATGAAGCCAACAGAAAAATTGGTTTCAGCCTTTGGGCTTGGGAAAAGCAGTCACAGCACTTGTTGGCCTTCCAGGACATCAAGAGAAGACTTAGCAAGCAGCTCACTGCACGGACAGGTGGGGGAATTTAGGGTGCTAACTCAGACCACTATCACCAAGGTCTTTACTCTGCTGAAAGCAGCCTGTATCCGGGGTGGGTCTTTTCCCTAGGTCTCAGTTCCTTTCTCTTTAATGTGAACTCCAATGAAGATACATTAATGCCTTCTCACTGGGTGCCCTGTAAGAGCATCCCAGTGGTATTTTTTTAAGCATACTATTGTGAGTTAACCGCCTCCACCCCTCACCTGCCACCCTTGCACTTACATGGAACTTAGTCCTAAGTCCTAAGAGGTTCGGGTTAGAAGCATGGAATTGGAAACTAACGAGGCACTGGTTCATGAGGCTCAGAGCTTATCACAGCTGTTCCCACAGAAGGCTTTTCTTGCGATGTTGTCAATACTTGTTGATGCAGACCATACCCAAGAGGCAAAGACTAATTATGATTTTTCCCCCATTGTATTTTAATAGCTCATTTTGGAGACTTTAATTCTTCCATACATCATCCAGGCTATCTTGCCGACAGCCAGTTCATACCAGATCAAAATGATGACTTTTTAAGCAAGGTGGAGTCGCTTCATGAACAGCACAGGTGCGGGGACAGGATGGGAAGGGAGCATGTTGGGGCTCAGGTTGGGTATTTACAGATACTGTATCACTTTGTGTTTGATGCTCCCTTGGCTTCCTTTGTTGTTGCTATTTGTTTTGTACCTTTAAGCTGGGATGGTGGTAAATATATATTTATCATCACTTGCATTCTTGGGAAACATAAAAATGCAATAGGAATTGAAGGTGATAGCTGGCACATTCCTCCTTCAAGATGTCATAGACATTGGCTAATTCCTCCAGGAAATGCCCATTTTCAAGCTGATTGACTGGCCTACAAGCCGATTGAACCACCCATACCTTTTAGCCATTTACCTCATTTAATAAGACAGGCGGTTCCCTCAGGTGTTGTTGAGTGGAGAGCTGACAGGGTGGGTAGTTCTGGATTCAGACTGCTTTTCCTCCACATAGGGAGACACCGAGGGACAAGCTTTGCTTCTAACAAATACTTTCCCATTTTCAATCTCCTCTTCCCACTCCTCACGTGACTCAAAGCTCCTGTGGCAGCTGCTCTGTTCCCATTAAATGAGGACCACACTGACCCAGGCCAGCTCTCCAGAGACATCTCATTTCTTGGGAAGGCCATAAAAACAAAGGGCAAGCTACCAGCGTACCTTCTTAGAGGGCGCTGCCAACCCTCTCTCCCGGAATTGCTCCTGGGACAGAAGTCAGTGTCCTAAAATAGCACAGGGCCACTGGTTTTTGAAGCGTGAGGCCACTGTTGAGAGAATAGACAGGCAAAAAGATGAAAGATTACCTATTAATTGAACAACGTGGCACAATGAAGGCAGGGATTCTGCAAGGCGACAGATAGTTTTCACTGTCTGAAGACCTCTCAGAAAGCTCATTAAGTGGCGAGTGTTTCTTAGTAAAAAATGAGGTGTCCAGAGGAGGTCAGGTTCATGGACAAAAAGAAAACCCTACTTCAGTAGAATTAAGTTAGAGTGCTTAGGGGGGACTAGCCCAAGGCATTTAGTAATCTTTAATAACTATTACAGAGGACTATTACAACATTTTTCCAGATGCTTTAAATTTTTAAACCCTCAAGTTAATGTTCTCCAGCTACTGAGAGAGCTTTGCAATTTCTCTTTTCTTCTGCAGTGGCCTAAAGCAGTCAGAAGCGGAGTCTTGCTACATCAATATAGCCCGGACCCTTGACTTCTACGGAGTGGAGCTTCATGGAGGCAGAGTATGTATCCTTTAGTTCAGAAACTATTGTTTATTTTTAATTATGCAAGTGCACAAGCTTCCTTGGGGAATTGTTTCTCTCCCACTGGAACAAAGAAGACCTTTTAAAAGCTGGTTGGGGGCTGGAGAGATGGCTCCGTGTTTAGAAGCACTTGTTCTTGCAAAGGCCCTGGGTTTGATTTCAAGGACCCACATGGAGGCTCACAACCTCCTTGGGAAGCAGGCGCACACGTGGTCCTCAGACATAGATGCAGGCAAAACACTCATGCACACAAAATAATGAATAAAGCAAATCTGAGAGAGGTGGGGGCGGGCTTGGAAAGCTGATTGAATACCTACTGGCTTATCTGATTTTTACTGGTCATCCGGTGGATTGCTTTTTTTCACACTTCTGAAAGATAATAGCAGAGGAAACTTACAAGCTTTGTGGCTAAATGGGCACAATCCATTTTCCTGTGTTTTAAATGTTGTAGCAAGCATACAAAATGATGGGCTTAGGGGCTAAAGATGTCTTTTGTCTGGTAGAGGGCTTCTCTAGCGTTCATGAGGCCCTGGGTTCAATCCCAGTACCATGTCAGCTGGGTGTGCTTGTGTACATCTGTGATCCCAGCATTCAGGAGGAAGGGGCAAGAGGATCAAAAGTTCAAGGCCATCTTCAGCTACGTAGCGAGATTGAGGCCAGCCTGGGCCCCCATCTCTAAAAACTGGGAGGGCATTAATGACATTTCCATGCATGCATATTATTGTATTTTGCTTATATTCAACCTATCAACACCCTCCCTTGTCTCTCCTCCACATGAACCCTTCTTCCCCACAAACGGCCCCCCTTCTACATTCATGTGATTTTATAAATCTATTTTTAAGTGGCAGTTTAATGAGCCAAGGTTTCTACTACATCTTAGGTATTACTCAGATTAGAGCTAGTTACTCAAATGTGGTAATGTGTATATGTCTGTGTATGATGTATGCAGTATACATATGTATGCATGCTTATGTGTGTACATATGTGTGTATAGCTAGATACAAGGTGCATGCAGGCCAGAGGTTGATGTCCAGGGTCTTCTTAGTGACTCTCCACCTTCATCTCTTAAAACAGTATCTATCATGAACCTGATATTCACTACCTGGCTGCCCAGTGAGCACCAGGGACCCACACCTGTCTCTACTTCTCAGTGCTGGGATTACAATCCTCTACAACTATGCCTAGGTGCCAGGGATTGGAACTCAGGCCCTCATGCTTGCACATCAGGCACTTTGCGGAGTGAACCATCTCCCTAGCCCTATTCACACTTAGTAGTTTTATAGAAGAAATTACAGTGGCAGGATTGCGAGATTGGTAAATCTTTTACATTGGGATTAGTTTAGTAGAATTGACTATAATATATATCATCTACTGGGCAAGTTGCTGTGTCTGGATAGACAGTTTCTTCCAATAATTACATCACCTTGGGGATTGTCATATTTCCTACTTTATAAATAGAGGTCATTCAGTTAGGACATGGCCTCAGCACTGAATGTCTTAGTCACTTTTTTATTGCTGAGAAGAGACACCATGACCAAGGCAACTTATAAAAGAAAACATTTATTGGAGCTCATGGTTCCAGAGGGTTTGAGTCTGGTAGGGGACATGGTAGTAGGCAGGCATAGCTCTGGAGCAGTAGCTGAGAGCTACATCCTCATCAGCAAGCATGAGGCAGAGCATGTGTGAGCACTATCTGGGAGGGGCACGGGTCTTTTGAAACATTAAATCCTGCCACCAGTGACACACCTCCTCCAACAAGACCCTGCCTCCTAATCCTCTCAAAACAGTTCTACCAGCTGGGCACCAGGCATTTAAATATATAAATCTGGGTTGGGCATGGTAGCAAATGCCTTTAATCCTAGCCCTAGGGACACAGAGGCAGGAGGATCTCTGTGTGTTCAAGGCCAACCTGTTCTAAATAACAAGTTCCAGGGCTACATAGAGAGACCTTGACTCAAAAAGAAAAAAAAAAAAAATCCCCCACCAAAACTTGTGAGGCCCATTCTCATTCAAACCACCACACTGACTGATCATGCCAACATTTTAGCACTGACACACTAACATTTCTGCCTGTCATTAGCCCACCTCATACCCACAATGAAACAATTATTGGGCTGGAGAGATAGCTCACTCCATCAAGTTCTTGTTGCAAAAGCACAAGGACCTGAGCTTGAGCTCAGAACACATGTAAAATGCCAGGCTTGGTGATGTGTACTTTGGAATCACAGTGCTGGAGAGGCAGGGACAGAAGGTGGAGACAGGAGGACCCCTGGGCCACCATGGCTCCATAGACTAGCTTCCTGATGAGCTCCAGGACTGTCTCCATGACTTCAGTCCATAGCTCTCAAGGAACAATAGACATTCAGGGTTGTCCTCTGGCCTTCATACTCTCAAATTCACATATGCACACACATGTGTATCTGCACACACACACATGTGCACCCGCACACATACATGTACACACATACACATGTGCATACACACACAGTACTAATTAAGCACCAGCTGTGGGCTAGTCTTTGTCTCAGATACTTTCATAGGAGATCTTTGGGTCTCGTTTCTACTGAAACCTTGCCAAATTGGTGTTCTTAGCATCTTCATTTACAGATGAGAGAGAGCAAAAGCCTGTGGAAGTTGAATAAATGATCTAAGCTTCTCTTGTCTGTTAAAAAATCTACACATTGTGTGAAGCTTACAGAAACACTTCTTTGTCTCACTTCTGTTCCATGAGTTCTCCATTAGACAGGGTCTAACATGGAGGGAATATATTGTCTCTTATACAATAATAGCTTGGGATGTAACTGGTAAGTTTTATTCCCTTTTGGAAGTTTTTTTTTTTCCTCAATAGAATGTTTTAGAGAACCTTATTCAATGGCAGAATAGGAATGTCTTCTACTTCCAGATTTAATCTTCACCTTTTCTACCCTCTCCTGTCAGTGAACCCTTCAGACTGGCAGGGTGTGTTCATACCAATACTTCTGAGGTTGAGGCAAAAGTAATGTAACTTTGAGGCCAACCTGGGCTCTATAGTGAGTTCTAGGCCAGTCTGGTATACATATGGAGACCCAATCTCAAAAGGAAAAAAAAAATTGCTTGGTGCTTAAAAGTACTTGTTGCTCTTGTAGAGGACCAGGGCTTGATTCCCAGCACCCACATGGTGTGGAAACTGAGTAAATAGCTAACTGGGGTTAACTGTAGTTAGCTGGGGTAAAGGTGCACACTGAAGGACAATGGAATGCCTAACGACATTCAGTCCTTGGCCCACCAAGCCATTCATTCATTCAGTATCTTTTGCTGATCTGTCCCTCTTTCTATGCCGCAGTCTTGCTCTTCACCATGCTGTTCTGGCTTTGCTTACATGCGTGGTTTTAGCCTGGTGCCTAGTGTGAATGCTCAAGACTTCCTCTGTAGCAACACCATTTCCCTATCCACTTTCTATACCCATTTTTGTTCCTTTGTTGCTCATAAATGGTTGCTCATCCCAACAGAAAATGAGCATTTGTTACACCAGCCATGTGCCAATTCTCCACCTAGAGCATTTTATACAACCCTTTTCCTGGTTTGTATTTTCTCTACTTTCAGCCTGATAGAAAATTTGAGGTGGATCCCTTGACTTTTTATAATGCAAGAAGGAAAATGGAGTCTCTCCTGGACCTCAAACAACATTGGCTACAAGTGGCAGGCCAAAGGCTCACACTCACCCCTAACTGGCTCTGCCCCATGTCTATAGTTATGGTATCTGTTTGGAAACAGAAATATGTATGACTCAAGGAAGGAACTCTTGTCCCTTTGAATGTTACTTGCTTATACTTGCTTGGATTTAAAACAGCTTTAAATGTCTGTGTTTTCCTTCTGTTTCTGTATGACATACGGCTGTGCCAAACACACAAGCTCTTAGTATAGTTACATTAGATTCATAACCAACATTTATTTCTTAATTGGATTTAGAGTCGTTTCTACATGTGTAATTTTTCTTTATTATTTCATAATAGCTAAAGCCTCCTTAGTAATTGAAGTTGAGATCTGTAGGAGTTGTACAGAGAAGAGGCCTATTTAAGTCTTATGTGGCTCCCAAATGCTGATGGTTGAAAATTCATGAGTGTTTTTATATTTGATTCTGTGGAGTAAATATTCTTACCTGGTAACTTCCTAAACCAGGTATCATGACATACTATGTGTGTGTGTGTGTGTGTGTGTGTGTGTGTGTGTGTGTGTGTTCACTTTAGAAAAGCTGGGTGCCAAGTACTTGGCTCTTAAGTGGCTGCTAAGTGGGGCTTTTTCCTGTGTTCTGTGGCATTTCCCCCTCTTGAGCGGATACATACTGCTATTTATAAAAGCGTGGGTACTTTAAAGTTAGCAGCGGATGAGCATGGCTGTAACACACTGTGAACCTGGACTCTTCTTTCCCCCACCAGGATCTGCACAATTTAGATCTAATGATCGGAATTGCTTCTGCGGGCATTGCAGTGTACCGAAAATACATTTGCACAAGTTTCTACCCTTGGTAAGTACAAACACTTCGAATTGTCTGAATCATGCTTTAAAAATATGCCGAGCAAAAGTAATGCTAGTTCTAATTTTAAGCTTTTATTTCTGAACAAGGGCTAGAGCATTCCCCCCAATTTTTAAGCTCTGAACTTTGAATTTGATCCAGATTTGGCACCTGGGAAAGTAAACTTTGGTTTTCATTAACTTCCCTATGCCAGTTGTGCTGTGGTTGGGGTAGCTGGTAGATAAATGGCAAGTCTTGGAGTTGAGTCATCTTTCCATCCCCTTGTATGTATGTGTATGAAATCAGTCCTAGATTCTGATAACCAAGAGCCTGCAAGTAATACAAGCCACATATATGTGTATATATCTACATACATATCTGTGGTAAAGTTTAATCTATGAATTAAGTCCACTAAGAGATTTCAAACAACACATAATAAAATCAGTTATCACAGTATACTGTACTGAAAATTTTTTGGATATGGCTCTCTCTTGAAAGAGTCAAGGCAGTAATGTTTGCAAATTGTGGTGGACTCCAGGCGATTGAAACCATAGAAAACCAGAATGGAGGTGGGGAAGGGGAGAGTGGAATTGATTTTTCAAGATGAGTTTGAGATTATTGTACCAGACAAGGGAGCTTTCTTCAGGGAATCATTAGACCTCCCAAATAATGCATTTTTATAAATGACAATATGAACGTGTGTAGGGCAGGAGTGGGGCAGATTGAGGAGAGCAAGTGCTGCAGGCCATGGGAGATATGAAAATACAAACATGCATAGAAAAGTGGCCACATGGAAACTTACAGAAAGGGGAAAGGAGATTTGGGTGACAGTTGTGGCACACCAGGTATGACATTTAGGTTTACAACTGTTCTTCAGTTTGACTGTCTAGAACTTCACAAACAGAGTCAAACATGTTTATCACAGCAGTATTTATGACGGGGGGAAAACCTATAAAGAATATTATAGGGGCATTAATCATGATAGGAGCTGTCATATTATTCAGTGTTGGCTGTATCCAAGTCGTGTTATTATGTATTTTATTTATCTCACTTAAACATTAAATAAGCCATTTTTCCATCCAAGTACTAACAAGGCCCGGCCCTACTTAGCGTCCGAGAGCAGATGCGATCGGGTGCGTTCAGGGTGATGTGGCCATAGATGGATAAGCCATTCTTATCCCTGGTTTCTCAGCAGAGAAAGCTGTAGAACAAGGAAATTTATAAAAACTGTCAGGCTCATGTTGTTAATAATGGTGCTGTTGAAATTCACATCCAGTGTGTCACCCCAGGACCTGTATTTTATTCTACCACTAAAAGTTGTATTTGTGGGGAAATGCTTAAATAGGATATACACAAGAGACATTGGTTTTCGATTAGCTTTCAGAACATTTAACTTTTAACAAAACACGCCATAGTCTTACTTAGTTTTGCCATGGAGTCAGTGTGATAGGCGATAAAATCTTGAGCTCCTCACTGGCAACAGGAATCCCTAGTCATGGCTTGGCTACCTGCGGTGTGACCTGCAGAGTTCTCTGGCCTGCTCAGACAAAGGGCCATGCAGTGGGCATGGTACTGATTCTCTCTTTAAGTGCTGCTAGTCGCCCAGTACCATAGGCCAGAAGCCACCTGAGTCTGGCTTCATCTGTGGATCAATGAAGGTTCCATAATCTGGGTGTGGATATCAGATTTAAAGGTTGAGTTGGAATCCATAAGGATTCTTTAGTTAGGAAGCTGAAAACTTCATAAAGCAAGTTTATAAACAGAAGCCTTTGGGGCAGGGCCGGCAGGGACTCTTGACACCCCTCCTGTCCCTCAGGGGCTCCTTCAGATAATCTCAGTTACTCTTCAGCTTCGGCTCCTGTTAATACCTGGCTCTGATGCCAATACTGTATTAGTTAATTTTTGTAACACTGTGGCAAAATAACTGAGGGAAGCAAAATTGGCTCACAGTTCAGAGGATCTGGTATGCCATGCAGGTAGGGCGTGGGCACTTGAGTGGCTCAGCGATTGGCAGTAAGAGTTTGCAACCTGCCTGATCTCAGTAGATCAGGAAACAGAGCTCAGGTTGGAACCTTCAGGGTGCACTCCACTCCTACTGATCTACTTCTGATAGCTAGGCCGAATTTCCCAAAGGTTCCACAACTTCCCAAACAGTACCACCAGCTGGGGACCCAGTGTTCAAACATATAAACACTTCACACTCAAACTGTAACAAGTGATAACCTCAGAGACCAGTAGGAAGGTCAGCACTGGAGAGTAAACTCAAAATAATAATAGGTCAGACCACAGGGCAGGGTGCAGAAGGGCCCAGAGCCTGTAGGAGTGACTCTAAGGAGGGTAGGCTTTGGCCTCAGGGATACATTCTAGAAAGAAGGTACAGAGTGAGTGTATCTCCAGGAACATGGGAGAACATAATGGGTTAGTACAGGGTAGATTAGACTAGAGCATGGTGTGCCATAGCCAGCTGCTAGAGAGTGACCTAGACACCGAGAGACTCACAGGACACCGGAGTGGAGACATAATCCTTGATGTTCTAATGAGAACTAGAGTCTCTAGCATGCAGTGGTCACAGGGATATGGCTGTATGCATCATTTGGTACCTATTTCCTAGATAATGAATGTCCAGATTGCAGTACCCACTGTCTTGTTCTTTCTGTCCCTGGAACCTGGCACAGGACTTAGTCTATCTACACACTCAGTACATTCCATCTTTCCTTGTGGCTAAAGGGCAGTAGAGAAGCCACTGTAGGGCCTTCAGCCTGAAAATCACATCTATGTTCTTCAGATTTGCTCTAATGGAGAACACAGCCAAAGAGAGAGTTGTAAACATTGACGCAGAACACTCTGAACCAGGGGTCCTAGCAGCCCCCCCCCCATGAAGCCATTGGCACACAAGCAGTTGTGTTAAGCAAGACAAGGCTAAGAACTCTGTAAGGAATGAGTTTGTTCTCCAGACCTCTGTGAAATAGCAATTCCTGTGTATGCCCTTCAACACAAACTGTATAGAGGAGACCTACCCACATCAGGGCATCACATGCTCTGTGATGGGTGCCTCAGAAGAACTGGCCCTAAGAGCCTTCTGATCCTTACATGACTGGCCTGCAGTCACTCCCAAAATTCACTTGTCAAATAAAAGTATCTTATTTCTTATTTAAACTAGGTATTCCCTTTTAATGTATAATGCAAGTTTGTGTGTGTGTGTGGGTGTGTGTGTGTGTGTGTGTGTGTGTTTTGCTGATCCACTGGGAAATGTCACATGAATAAACTTTCACTTTACTTATTCGACCTTTCTGTTCTAGAATGTTCTTATCAAGGTCTTGATACAATCCTAGAGAATAATAGAGTTCCTTTCTTCCCTCAAATATTGTGTGGATTATAGTAGCTTGTCATAGTGAATACAATCTGTTTAACAGGTGAACTTCTATTGAGCATGGTGGTGCATATTTGTAATCCCAAACCTAGGGGGTCAGAAAGGGTAATCTCTGAGGTCGAGGGCCAGCCAGCCTAACCTCACCTTGTCGGTAAGCTTCAGGTCAAATGAGAGACCCTGTCTCAAAGAATAATGTGGACAGCACCTGAGGAAGGACACCCAAGGAAGACCTCTGGCCTTCACATATGTATACACACACACACACCCTGATCTCATTCACCAGTTTTAATCAAAAGTACCAACTCTGAGTGCCTATGGTGCATTAAGTATCATGTAATAACTTGGCATGCTTACTACATCTATATTGTCATAGAACCATGGTGAGAAAGGCTGTGAAGAACCACTCAGAAGATGTCATAGGGTCCAAGATCATAGGCTCTGGAGGTTGAGCCCCAAGCTTAAGAGCATGGCTCCCAGCAGTTTAATCTCTGCACCCCTACTTCCTGTTCTGGATAAATATTGTTTGGGACTGTTGCAAGATGCAATGGAGGCAGTGTTTATAAAACCTGTGGCAGTGGCCTAGTATATGAAAATACTTGGTATACTTACCTAGCAGGGTAGATGCCATGATCACATAGGTGGTTTTCCCAGGGTGAGGCTTATCCATTGCACTCCGGATGTGGTGACCCCTGTGATTTCCCCAAATTGGGAAACTCGACCACATAATTTGTAGTAGTGGAGGACTTCTGCGTGCTCTCCCCAGAAGAGAGAGGGGGAAGAAAGGAAGGAAGGAAGGAAGGAAGGAAGGAAGGAAGGAAGGAAGGAAGGAAGGAAGGAAGGAAGGACGGACAGAAGGAAGGAAGGAAGAAAATACTGGTAGCTTTCATTCCGTATTATGCACATGGTAAAGAGGTTCTTTCACACGTGACTGTTAAGTAACAGAACTGGGGTACAACCCAGGTCTGTCCTCCCTCTGCTCCACACTGCCCTCAGCTGTCTTCCCCCACATAGGCACAAAGAGACTTACAGCAAAGAGTGCGCATGGCCCACACTCCCAGTTATTTAAAAGCTATCTCACAGTCCAGAGGCCCCATGGAGATCCAGCTCGGTCAGCTCCTTGAATTCAGCCGAGGCACACTCCCAGCAGCCAGCAGTCATCGGATCATGAAATAGAGGACTCATGCAGAAGAGGGTCAGCTATACCCTGGCTGAGCCCTGATGTCTTTGTTTGATTTGCATTTTGCTTTATTTTTTGTGTTATGTGTGGTTTTGTTTTGCTTTGCTTTTTACAGGGTGAACATACTCAAAATTTCTTTCAAAAGGAAAAAGTTCTTCATACACCAGCGGCAAAAACAGGTGAGTGCTGCCCAGGTTTGCTGCATGGGTTCTGTCCACGCTTGCTGTGTTTGCTGTGTTGTCGAGGCTTCCTCCAGACCTTCAGGGATGGCTTTCTGTGTTTTAGGAAGGGAATACTGGTCATCAGGTCTTCAGTTGTCCTCTGGTTGGAAAATTAACTTGTTTTAGATGCAGAGACTCTAAAGATCCTGGCTCTTCCCCTGGCACTGCCTCTAGCCCATATTACCTTGTTTCTAGAAGTTCAAGTAATGCCCACTTCTCCAGGAGCTGTTTGGATTAGACAAAAGGGCCCAGGCTGAGCACCTAGCAGAGCCCACGGCTGCGTAGCAGGAAGCATCCACACCACCAATTCCTTCCTTTAGTGTGTTTCTCGGGTGATAGTTTGTGACTGGGTCTTACAAGCAGAGTCGGCAGGATCCTAGACAACTCTATTTGTTTGCTTAGCCACAACAGAAATACACTTAGTAAGAAAGCCCAAGCTCCCGCAGCCTCAGAGTGAAGGAGCTGGAATTTGAACCGAGGCGCCTGCCCTTTCCACACCACACCCTGTCTTGTTATGCTGCATCGTTGCCACTGGCTGTCACTGTGTCCATTTCCCAACTTTTCAAAGATGATATGCCCTTAGACTGACCCCACTCAGTGAATGGGCACTTTGAAACAGGATTACTAGAGCTCAGAGTACCAATGAGTACTGGGTTACCTGACTGCCCATCGACTCCCATCCCTAGGGCAAGCAGGGTCAGGATGGCACCAAGTTTTATATGGAATCAGAAAACCTAAATGCAGGTAGACTGAAAGCAAAGCCAGGGAGGGAACTGTTTATTACATGTAAGCACTGGAATTCACTCTAGGGCAAGAAATGGAAAATCCCAGGGTTCTAATGTCTCTACTACCTGCTTGGTGGAAGAGTATTTCTTCAGGAAAGAGGCATTTCCAAGGTTGAGTTCCCAAGTTTATCAGATGGCAGCTCCAAGTAAGCTCCCTCTTAAACTATACGAAGGTTTGAAACAACAGTGTTTGTGAAGGACTCACCCCATGATTAGGGGACATGGATTCCGGTCATTTTTATTACCACACCCATAGAGACAATCCTGCTCCAAAATATTCCTGGGACACTGGGGTGTCTGAAGTGTCTGGAAGCCTGCTTCTTCCCTTTATCACGTCTTCCCTGGTTATTCCATGTGGGTTGCAAGCTTGACACATTTTAGTCATCCTGTACATCCATTACAGTGAATCCTCTACTCTTCTCCCTCCCAGGCTGAATCCAGGGAACATATCGTGGCCTTCAACATGCTAAATTACCGATCTTGCAAAAACTTGTGGAAATCCTGCGTCGAGCACCATTCATTCTTTCAGGCAAAGAAGTTACTACCTCAGGAAAAGAATGTTCTGTCTCAGTACTGGACACTAGGCTCCAGGAACCCCAAAAAGTGAGTATACTTTAGGGGGACTATCCATGTTAAGCTGAGATATTAATGTGTGCTAGTTGCCTGTGGGTCATGGACATCCTTGGGCAGAGAGGCAGCTCTGAGGCCCGACCCCAGATTTTAGATCCCTGAATGGCAGCTGAGTGTCTCCAGGAGAAGTTGTGCTCTTTATATACCTACTCAGGTACATCTCATATCCTCAGGGTTAGTTTTTGCCCCCTCAACCCTGCTGTTGTCTGAGTTCCCAGACAGCTGGAATTGCAATTGCCACCACACCCTGCCCAAGGACACTGAGTGTCATTGCCAGCATATTAGGCTTTTCACAGCCTGAGGCTAGTAAGCCAGCCCCTCCCACAGAACATTAGTTCATAGGCACCCCATAAAAGTGAACAAAGGTTTCCAGAGTCTGGTGGCTTCGGAATGTATTGCCAATAATAGCTGCAAAATAATAATTATAATTGACAATTATCTGGTATTTATAAAAGGAACATACTTAATTATATTTAATTCTTGCAATGAACTTGAGATAAATGCTACCTACAGGAATAATATTCAAAATATTTAGTGATAAGAACAGTAAAATAAATTTGCATATGTATGTCATATACATTATAATTTTTTAAAATAATATATATTGGGTCTTTGAGTAAAGTAACTGTGGGGCCTATGTTTTTATTTTGTTGGTTCCAAGACAGCTTTGTATAAGAGGCAACAGAAATTGTTTACCACATTGTTAGAATTTCTAAGTCATTCGCTGGTTTTTCAAAATTGTGATTGATTGTCGTAAATGTGGCTTTTTCTAAATGAGGTTCAAGTATGAGCTATTATTTGATGTGAAATTTGATAAGAGCATTGTAGTGGCTTTCCTATTACATGTTAGTCTTTAGGTAATGTAATGATTTAGTAAGAGGCAAATTGCCTCTGGTAGGGGTGGTGTTATTTCTTATGAACCAAGACCAAACATATTTTTTAAAGTGTTTAGCTCTTATAGTTATGTATAGTATTTGTATGCATTCAATTCTATCTACTACTGAGTAGGCCATAAGGTTAATGTTGTTGAGGCCCCCCCATGGAGCTGCCTCGTACCCAGTATGCTACATGGAAACCAAATCCTCTTCCTGCATGGTGGTCCCTCTAGCCAGCCAGAGGCATTGGATGAGATGGACTCAAGCATGGTGAGCTCAGCCACCAGCAATAGCTCCACTGTCTACAAAGAACTCACCTGCTACTGTTTCTCAGTGCCAGCATTGACAGCCCAGTTAGCTGCAGCGGTTGGGGCCATGCCTCTTTGTTAGGCACTCACTGGGTCACGCCATCCTGGGGACTTCCCTGGTAGAAGTAATGCTGAACATTCCAGGTCTGGCATCTCTCACCGGAGCCTCAGGATCCTAGCCCATGCAGTAGCAGGAGCAGCAATAGCAGATTAGCGGCCCTGTGTCTGTGAGCGTCTGGGCGTGTGCTCAGAGCTGTGGAATCAGATGCAGGCACTGCAGCAGGTCAGATTGGCAGATTTGAATAGTCAAGAAGTTCAGGTTGAAGAAGCAAAAAATCATTTTTGTGGCCTCTTCAGCATAAAAATATATTTGAGCTAAAGCACAAGGCATAAATATACCAGTGAACTCTGCTATGCACAGCTTCCTTGCTGTGGAGTGGCCATGTAAGTAGTGATCTTACTACAGTCTCACTACAGAAGTGCAATGAGTTGGCATGGAGTTTGCAGGGGGCCTCCTTGTCAATTTGTGTGATCCCACCCAGATGTTATAATATTACTGTTTATGTGGTCATTAGAAGGAAGCAGTTTTCTTCCAAGTAGGAATTGGCTAGACTTCGATGGGCAGTGGTGGTGCACACCTTTAATCCAGCACTCCAGAGGCAGAGGCAGGTAGGTCTCTGAGTTTGAGGCCAGCCTAATCTACAGAGCGAGTTCCAGGACAGCCAGGGCTATACAGAGAAAACCTGTCTTGAAAAACCAAACAAACAAAAAACTGAATTGGCTAGAACTAATTCTCCAGGCAGGTTGGAGGTGGCACAAGTGCTCCATCTCTCACTTGAGTTTCAGTTTGCTGCCTCAGTTTCCTTATCTGAAAACTTCTCCATCTGCAGCGAGTACAGGATGCTGGGGTTCTGGTCATCTTCTGTGACACGAGGACCCCTATTTTGGTGCTTACAGCAACAATAGTCTATTATATCTCAGAATTTGTGGGTTAGGAATTCAGGAAGGGTTCACCAGTGACTCTTCTGTTCCATTAGACCTACCCTGATGGGCAGGGGTCTTGTGACAATCGGCCACTAGCAGCCATGTTTAATCCTCTACAGAGGGTCACTTGAGGCATGGAAGGCAGTTTGGGGTACAAGTCATCAGCATACTGTTCGTGTTGACTCTTACATTTTTTTGTGTGTTTTACAATTACTTATTTACATGTAGGGATGGGGTGGAGAAAGACACATGCATGCCATGGTACACATGTGGAGGTCCGAGGACAACTGGGAGTCAATTCTCTTCTATCCTGTGGGTCTCAGGGATGGAATTCAAGTCATCAGACTTGGTGGCAAGCACCAATACCCCAGAGCCTTCTGACCAGCCCTTACCACTTCCATTCATTTCACAGATGAGGAAACCAAGGTCCAGCCCAGCCCCAGGGTACATCCATATATCTGTGTGTTGGGCCCTCTGATAGGTTCCATGAAAGGGCAATTTGATCATTATTTTCCAGAGATAATGGAACGGTTTCAAGTTTCTATTAATAACTGGTGACACGTGCTTTAGGGATCTGCCACATTAAACCTCGGAGTCACGCTGCCTGCTTCCCCTTATTTTAATCTTACATCCTTAATCAGTGGTCATGTGGCTTCTCATATAACTGACCTCAGGAAAGGGTCACCTGGTGATACACCAGTGAGCATTTTGATGAGAATGACAGCGACATTCATTATTATAAACTAGAACCTGGATTTTTATTGTACTTCTTTGTTCTGTTGTTTTTATCCGTTAGTTGGTTTTAGGCCATAAGGAAATATATGGAATATTTAAGACATTAGAGCAGGGTGTAAAATTGGAAATGCCCCAACTGTTAACCTCCAGCCAGACTTCAAATGATTTACTAAGGTAATCTATTCCTTGGGATTTCAATTTTCTAACTATAAATAAACTTCAGAACTATCCTTCAGATAACACATTCAAAGACTATGACCTGAAGCTGTTCTAAGTACATCCTTAGCTTCTCTGTCAAAGATTTCCCAGTGATTTATGGCTGCCGCCTCTGCTGGCCGGGGGCACAGGGACCATCTGGAAGGATGACTGTGCTTTTGTTCATGCCAGTGGGAGGCAAGTGAGGTAGATCTATTGAAGTTCCTGGAGATGTGCTGGTCTGTGCTATTCTGGTGCTCCCTCTAACCTGGTAGCTTTGGTGATAGTCTAGAAGCAGCTCGACTGTTTAAAGTGGCGCCAACACAGAAACATTTTCACCAAAAGACCAGATATAACCTGAAGAAAAAACGAACAAGAAAGGAAGTCTGGGGCCAACGGGATGGTTCAGCAGGTAACGGCATTGCTGCCAAGCCTGATGGCCTGAATTGGATCCCCAGCCCCACATGGTGGAAAGACAAAAGTGACTCTTGCAAGTTGTTTACTGACCTCCACAAGCACACCATGGCACACAGCATGCCCACTCACGTGTGTACACACACCCACACAAAATAAATAAATCTAATCTTAAAAATTTTTTAAAGGGAACCTGGTGATGGTACCGCACGCCCTTAATCCCAGCATTAGGAGACAGAAGCAGGTGGATCTCTGTGAGTTCGAGGCCAGCCTGGTCTTCAGAGTGCCAGGACAGGCTCCAAAGCCACACAGAGAAACCTTGTCTTGAAAAACAAAAACTTTTTTTTTTTTTAATGAGTACTCTGGAAACTGTCTGCCTCCACTCCTCACTAGCTTGTGTGGCCAGGGCTGGTGTCACTGGGGTACTAAGTAAGTGCCTTCAGAGAAGGTGCCAGGGACACTGTATTTTATGGATGCTGCACTCGCTTCTTATTGACCATGTCGGTGTGGAAAGTGACCCTGCATCTGGTTTTTCAGGTCTGTAAATAATCAATACTGCAAAAAGGTGATTGGAGGAATGGTATGGAACTCAGCCATGAGGAGGTCCTTATCAGTGGAACGGCTAGAAACCAAGAGCCTGCCCTCTCGGTCCCCACCCATCACCCCCAACTGGTATGTCCTCTTTTGTGCTGTGCACTAGCAGCAGATTCTCTCTTTTAAAAACACAAAGTGGGCTTTAAACTCTTCAACAGGGGTGGCCTACAGTCAGACTTCTATGTGTGTTCTACATGTTGCAGAAGGAGCCAGTCTCCTGAGGTCAAGGCATTCAGACCCTTTCCATACTGGGTACTGCTAAGGTGGCCTTAAAATAGTAATAACAAATTCACCTATCCATGGATGCGCTGTGACATTCCATTACATGTGTAGTATTCAAGTCAAGTTATCTGTCATGTCTGTCAGACAAATAGCAATTCTTTGTGTTGAGAACTTTAAGATCCCTTCTAGTAGCTGGACATGTGGCAAATACTTGTAGGCTTAGCATGCAAGAGCCTGAGGCAAAAGAACCAAGAGTTCAAGGCCAGCTTGGGCTACATGGACCCAATCTCACACAAACAAACAAAACAAATAAATACATCCTTTCTGTTGACTGTTTGGAAATATTCAGTTGATTATCGTTACTCTGCTATGCTAGAATATCAGATGTTATCCTTCCTATCTCACTGTACTCCTGAAGTACTTCTATAAAAACTGGGTGGTGGTAGCACATACCTTTAATCCCAGCATTCAGAGGCAGAGGCAGGGGGATCTCTGAGTTTGAGGCCAGCCTGATCTACAAAGTGAGTTCCAGGACAGCCAGGACTACACAGAGAAACCCTGTCTTGAAAAACCAAAATAATGATGATAATAATAATTAAAAAAAAAAATTGAGGCAGGGCCCAAGGCCTTAGCTTAGTGATAAAGTACTTATACAGCATGGGCAGACCCTGGTTTCATTCTACAACCCTGCAAATAAATAAAAAGTAACATTTGGAGCCCAAGGCCTGCTGTAATGTCCTCCTTAGAATCATAGCGTATGGCAGCATCTTGAACACATTATGCTGTAAGAAGTTTGTGGTAAAGAAGTTAAAAGGATAAAGGATGAAAAGAGAAAAGAAACCCTCAGGGTTCTAAGTTTCCACAAATGGAATAATGTATGAATGCTTCTTCTTAAACTTATTTCAGAAAAGGGTCACATGGAATCTTCTATTGGCATTTTAATGCTCCACAAAGATATCAGCTGTCTTTGTGAATGTCTCCTAAAAGGCCAAGCATCATCAACAGGAGAAGTGAAGCAGGGAAAGATTGTACCCTGGCTCCCTAGGATTAACAGCATGGCTTGCAAGACAGGTGGACCCGTATGTTTCCTAGTTAGGATTTATGGGCTTGAGGGATATGGGCAGAGGCCTGCTAGGAAAGGACCCTCCACAGGGGGCCATGTGTCCTGGACAATGGTGATGATGATGATGATGATGACATGTGTGCTGTAAAGCACCAACTTAATTTATGTGGAAATTTGTCAAGGAACCAGAGAGAGCCCCTGGTGAGATCCAGGAGAATAGCAAGGTTTGATGTTACTGCATCCCTGGCTTGGCTCTCTTGTTTCGAATTAAAGATCCTCTCCCAGGAGTTGCAAGAGCCATCTTGCTTCCACAATGGACACACGTTGATTATGCAGGAACAGGGGGGTTGTAAGTCCCTGAGACTCCTAGAGAGAAATAGCTGACAAAGGGAAGCTGGGACCACTTCAGGAGAAGAGGGCAATAAGGTCATGTGATTCAGGGCCAGGGCCTGGCACCCAGGTGCAGTCCCAAATGTTCCATGAACACTGTCTCATTTGGCTCATTCTCAGGAGCTGTAAGCACAGCTGAGTCCCAGAGGTAATAGGACTTATCTAAGGTCACCTGACTATTGCTGATAATAGAAAGCAGGGTAGTGTTCTGATGCCCATCACATTATAGGTGCTGAATAAGGAGAACATTTAAAAAAAAAAATCTTTGGTCTGCACAGATGGCTGTGTGTAAAGTGCTTGCTGTGCAAACAGGAGGACTGAGTTCAGATGTTAGCATTCACATTGAAAAGTAAGGCATTGACATAGATGCCTATAATCCCAGGGCTGGGAGGCAGAAACTGGAGGACCCCAGGGTCTGGCCAGCCAGCCTCGTTGGGTTGATGAGCTCCAAGTTCAGTGAGAGACCCTATTTCAAAAAATAAAGTAAAAGTGACACAAGAAGACACTCGACATCAACCTATATATGCACATGCTTGGACACACACACCCACATACATCACACATGCACATAAGTTCTAAAGTTAGTTTTCCTCCTTGGATCAAGGGAAATTCAGTGAGAAGTCACACACTTTGCCTTTCAAACCTGTCAGTGTGCATTGTTGGATTGGTGAGAAAAGTTCAAGATGGCTTGAGCCTTCTGGAAGAGTAGCTCACCCTTAATCTTTACTCACTGACCAGAAGGCCTAAACCAGTTTAGTTTTGCCTATTTCTAAGCTGAGACTATGGTTCTGGGAGCTACACTACTTACTCGAACATATCAGGGAACTGTGTTGCCCTGTCTGGAGTCTACTACGGTAAGAATGACTTCACTGGCTTTGACATATTTGTTTTGGTTATTCTTGAGACAAGTTCTCATTAATTCCCCTGGTTGCCCCATAACATTCGATCCTCCCAAGAGCTGGAGTTAAGGGTGTGTACCACCACACCCAGCACTGGAGCTGACTTTCTAAGCACCAGTCAGGGCATCCATGAAGATGCCAGGTCACAAGGTCACACAGCTGCCATTGGGTCAATCCCCTGTGTGGGAACTGCTCTCAGCACTTGGCACTGCACCTCTCCCCTTTGCAGGCGAAGTCCTCGGCTCCGGCACGAAATCCGAAAGCCCCGCCACTCCTCTGCAGACAACCTTGCCAATGAGATGACCTACATCACGGAAACCGAAGATGTGTTCTATACTTACAAGGGATCTCTGTCCCCAAAAGACAGCGATTCTGAAGTTTCCCAGAACCACAGCCCACACCGAGAGTAAGAATCACATATTTTCTGTCTTTGTATCCCTTTTGGGCTGGTGAAGAGTTTGCTCAGGCCCGAGTGCCAGCTGAGAAGAGGCAGAAGCTGGTGACTGCAGCAAGCTCCCAAAGGCACTCTCCTGAGATGGGAACATAAATGCAAATGTCTGTCTGAACAGGAGACAACCTATGTGCCTGGAGCTCAGAGAAGGACAGATATGACTCTCTCAGTACCTGTAGTCTTGTACTGCCCAGGAGACAAGCAGTGCCTTGTGTAAGATATTTCTGTATCGTGCAAGTACAGACTCAGGGCCATGCTTGCCATGATTTCTCTGCATCATTTAAGCTTGACCTGCGACCTTAGTCATGAGGACCATTCTGACATCCAGGAGCCTTCTTAGAACAGTATGCCCTCGGGTTTTGTTTCCTTTTCATTTTAAATTAATAGTGTAAAGAGAGAAAAACAAAACAAAACAGGGCTACCAAAATGGCTCAGTGGGTGAAGGCACTTATTGCCAAGTCTGTTGACCTGAGTCTGATACCCACATGGTGGAAGGAGAGAACCAACTTCCACCACTTGTCCTTGGGCATGCACAGGCCCATAATTAAAGATTTTAAAGTAGGCTTTTTATTGTGAAGTGTTTGTCAAGGACGGTTTCCTCTCAAGTCTTCCGTGGCCTCTGTTGTTGTTTGAGACAGATGCGGCAATGGACTTCCTTTGGCCCTTCTGCTGTGGCTTGCAATATGGGACCACTGAGGATCTGGTCTTATATATAGTGTTCTCTTGCCACTGACTTCATGGAGTCCAAGCTTACCTCTAACTTGCTGTGTAGCTGAAGACAATTCTGAACTCTTGCTTCTCCTGTCTTCCACCTCCTAAATGCTGGGATTGCAGTCATGTGCCACCCTACCTAATTTACGTCCACTCTTCCTAAAGTGACATTCCCCTCATTGAACAAGGCCAGGAAAAAGTGTCTGTTCTGAATGGCAGGCTTGAGTCTTAGTTACTCAGTCACAGCTGGTGCACCTGCTCCCTTTTTGCCTTGATTATCAGAGAGCTCAGAGCTGCTTAAGTGTTAGACTCAATTGCATTTGCTTCCCCCAACCCAGGTGTCTGGTAGTCTCTTCTCCGCATTCCTCACCTTTGGTATACAGTTCTGCCGTACCTGTGTGTTTGGGATAAGCTATCATATTTTGAAGCCGATAAGACGTAGGTCATAAATGATATCTCTAAGTTAAATCATGATAGGAAAGGGTAAGGCATTTGGAAGCCAGTCTTAGCCATTGGGCATTCAAACCATTAAGCCCCAAATAATGGCCCAAACCAAGAAAGGTAATGTCTCCCCTGTTGGAGAAGGATTAGCAAACAGGCACTTGAGTCAATCTGTAAATGTTTACCGACGAAGCTGCTAAAGCTTCTAGCATTAAGTACATCCTGCGTGTGCATTAGGTATTCACGGGTGAATTTCTGGTCTTCCCGATTCCATGCAGTGGTGGAAGGGTAGGGAGCTTGTTTCTCTGTACCTGCCCACAGCAAACATGGTCTTCAGATGGTCTGTGTTTTTAACACCTCTGCTTAAATGACCCCTGTCCTCATTATTTCTTTGTGACCTGAACCGAAGTATTCTTTTGTTGAAGTGATCGCTCTCTGTCACTGTAGTTTGCAGCCTACTGCACTGTCGTGGAAGCTGCAATAGAAGGGTGTGAGCTTCATTCATGAACCTGTGGCTTTACAAACTTGTAAATTACGAGCAGCTCTATAATGGCAAAACAGTAGTACAGATGGTGGCCATCAGAAACAGTCTGAGTCCAACTTGACCTCCAGACTCTGTTCCCTTCATATAAGCCGACCAGAGGGCATAGGGAGCCCCATCCAAGGGCTTGGGGAAGCCCACATATACTCTCGCTATTGAGCGTCCGGATTTTCACTGTCCAGTACGGCAGCCGCCCACTGCAGGCAGCTGCTCAGATTTAAGCCAACTAAAATAAGATGTGCGTTCAGCAACTAGGACATGCACATGCATTTTAAGCATTGTGGAGTCACACGTGCACGACCCCTCCATATCAGTCAGCAGTTTCTGCCCGACTATCATCCTAGCTTACCAGCGGGATGGCTCTGCCATTCACTGAAAGTAGAGCAAACCCCCAGAAGTCAAGTTTAGGAGCATCACTTGGCTTACCTGCGAAGTAATTGCCACCTCTGACCTAGCTGCACAGCTGTAGAGTAGGTGGGTGACCTCTGAGAGCCCTTGTATTCCCATGCCTCTGGTGACTGAGGTCTTGCCTCTTGTCCCGTGACACCTGGACATTCTAAAGAACCCTGTTTCTCCCTGAGTACATCATCGTACTTGCTGGTTGTGGAGAAGGGACCACAAAATGCAATTCAATAAGGCTTCATTTTTAAGTGCTTCTAGGCCTGCTGAGGCAGTACCTCATCTGAATTCACTATCACACTGTGGTACTCTGTGGTTTTGGAGAACCGTCAGGGTTGGGAAAGGCTCACACAGAGTTTCCTACTGTTCTTACAGCCACAGTGGGTGTCAGCATGTCTAGGCTTTCACGGTCAGGTCTGCCGGCCACCACCCATACCAGATTGCTTACTTATAAAGTCTTGAGAATGAAGTACAATTTGAGGTCTGCTTCTTCGAGCTCTGTTAGCTTCAGTGATTTCTTGCCCCAGCCATCCCTTCACATTTCATGCTGGCTTTCTGAACTCTTTCCATGTGACCTTCCTTGTAAGAAGGCCCCTCAGGGAGCTTTTTCTTTTGCAGCCCAGGATAAAGAGACACAGATGATGGTATTGCAAAGGTACTCTGACTGTACTTTGCACAGTATGCTTTGTGGCTGGGCTTCGAAAGGGGAATGGAAAACCAGAGCACCAGTCCCCTCAATTGCATCAAGGGCCGCTCTGTCCTGGGGCTTCTGAAGCCTTAACACCTGGGCAGGGGGGCTTTATGCCTCAGGCAAGAGATACAGGCTGGTCTGAACTTAATTGAAAAGAAACTTTGCCAGTAACATTGTATTTACGAAATGTTTAAGAAGCATTTGACATGTTTTCTACAGCAGGTTTGTGTTAAGAGTTCTAAAAGAAGCATTCTGTCAGAGAACTCAGAGGAAGGAGCTCAGACAGCGAGGACGACTCCTTTGAAGCAGAATTAAGTGTAATGTTCTGTGCTCATTCAAAAAAGAGAAGAAAGAGAAAGAGAGAAAGGCGTGCTTGGCCCCATCACCCGCACCCACCCTCCCCACCCCCAGCGGCACCGGGAGGGAACATCATCCCGGCAGATGAGTCACTTGCTGGTTTGTTCCATATTTATAGCAGTGCTGCAGAGTTTATGATTATAGTTTTGAAGCCTTGGCAGCGCGCTTTGTGCCCAGGCAGGCTGTGCGCTTTTGTTATTCCCAGCGCTCTCTATTCCTCCTTGCTTCCAGGGGAAGTTCAAATTCTGGCAGAGGAGCCGATTTTCCTCATGGTAGAAACAAAAACCAAAATTCCCCATCTCCTCACACCCAGACATGAGGGAGGAGGTGTGTGCAAAGGAAGAGCCCACCCTTGGAGCTGACATAAGAGACAGCAAGGGTAGCAGTGGCTCGGGCTTGTATCCCAAAGACTTTGTTGTGCTTCTTGGTCAGAGTTGTTTTGGTGGGTCACCAGTGTGGCGCCCAGAGTGAGTCTCACTTCGCGTCATAGTAGCTTATTGGCTGTTTGTTTCTTTCCCGAAGGCCTGTCCTTTTCCATAAGACACAAGATAACTCTCATATTCATTTTAAAACTTGTATGGTTTGGATGGGACCTTGTGGCAGCCTCTTTCTCCATCTACAGCCACAGTGGAGGAGTTCATGTGACCCATCTTCTGAGCCTCTGGGGTCCCTGCAGTGACAGGGTTCCCTGCAGCATGGTGATTAGTTGTATTGTTAGACACTCAAATTGTTGGTACAATTGGCCCTCTGCCTACATGTTCTGCATCCATAGACCAAATCACCTGCGTGTCCAGTGTCATGAGACCTGTCCTGATCGCTGAAGTCAACATGCCACAGTTTTTATTTTTTCTTGTCAGGACAGCAAGTGTTTGTACAACATTTACACTGAATTGGGTATTGTAAGTAACGTAGAGGTGATTTTAAAACACAGGATGTTGCATGTAGATAAAATGAAAATATTAGAGCATTTTATATAAGAGACTTAAGCATCTGCAGCAGAGGTTGCCCTGGAGCTTCTCCTCAGGGGATACTGAAGGACAGTTGTGTCTCAAATTGTTCTTGTCTAAGGGTTTCTGCTGCTGTGAAGAGGCACCATGGCCACAGCAACTCTTATAAGGAAAACATTTAACTGAGGGTGGCTCCCTTACAGCTTCAGAAGTTTAGTCCATGATTGTTATGTCAGGAAGCAAGGCAGCATTCAGACAAACAAGGTGCTGGAGCTGAGAGTCCTTACATTTTGTTTCCAAAGGAAACAGGAAGTGAACTGACTCATGGGGCATGGCTTGAGTGTATAGGAGACCTCAAAGCCCACCTCCACAGTGACACAATTCCTCCAACAAGGCCACACCCATTCCAACAAGGCTACACCTCCTAATAGTACCACTCCTTTTAAGTGGAGGATATTTTCTTTCAAGTCACCACAGTGATCTACATATTGATGCTGGCCTATCATGTAGGCTCTTGCCTCCAGCTTCTAGAACACATGCCACTTTGCTTTCCAGGTCTCCTAGCAGCCCTGCCTTAAATAACAATAGTTCTTCAAGTTAAGCAGTCTAGTTCTTCTTGCCACTTTCTACCTTTTTCCTTCCCTGTCACTACTCTCTGGGAACACTTGATCCTTATCGTAGGACAGTTCAGCACCTAATGCAGGAGAGAATCTGCTACTATCCAAGGGTCTCTTCAGGGAGCCAGGGTCAGGGTTTCATTAGGTGCGGATAAGGTGGTGGTGATGGCAATTATCTCTGAGCCAGACAAGGTCTGTGGGTGAACACCCACAAGTACCTGGAACCTCCCAACCTAGTCTCTGCTCTTGATTTTTGTACTGGTGTTATGACTCCCATTGTCTCAGAGCCACCCAGTTTTCACCTGCTGGGAACCTTAGTCTTCCTTTGTCCTTTTTTCCTTCTGCCACCCTTATTCGTGTGGTTGGTTCTAATCTGCACCGCCACCTCTACCACCTCCCCCAAACATCTTTTGAATCAGAGAAAAAGATACACAAGTGTTTCATGAGAATGGTATTATTTCTCATCTCTCTAACACTGCAGCTCATTCAGAAAATAGGATTCTCTCATGACCTTTTTTCTGGTGTCTGTGACATCTATAGTCCCCAGTGTCTAACAGTCTAGTCTGTCTTTCTGCCCAGGGACTGGAGTGTGTCTGTCTCACTGGCTGCTCCATTTCTTGGAGGATGGAAACAGGTCTCTTGGTGTTTTCTACCTCCTCTTCAGATGTGGCTTCTTGCTTCCTTCATCCTATCTCTTTTCTCAGCTCCTTTTTCAGTAACTTCCCTGAATTCCCCATTCCCTGGGGCTGTGTCTCCTCTCTACAACAGTCCACAAAGAACCCTGACCAGACTGGAGAGAGAGCCATGCCATTCTGACATCTTCTCTCTTGGCATCTCATCATCTGCCTGCCCAGCTTCTCATCATTCTATTTTCTCTGAGTCTCTCTCCATCCACCCTGAATACTAAGCAGATTGTCATTGTGCTCCAGAGGAATAAACCTGTGTGCAGTTGACCCATCCAAAAATGAGACACTTGTTCATTAAACCACTACCTGTTGGTAGAATAGCCTCTCCAACCCTACTTAGAAGATAGGTTGGACCATGGGATGTCTTAGAATATGTCAATGGTCACAGTGACTACTGTTCACTGTTTTAAAACAGGATTAAACATTTTTAGGCTTATTGTATTTTATGTGTTTGAGTATTTTGCCTGCATGTATGTATGTGTATCATGCAGATGCCTGATGCTCATGGAGTTCAGAAGAGAGCATTGAATCCCCTGAAACTGAAGGTGTAGGTAGTTGTGAGCCACCATTTGGGTGCCAGGAACCAAACCCAGGTCCTCTGCAAGAGCAGCAAGTGTTCTTATCTGCTGAGCTATCTGTCTAGCCCCAGGTTCCCTTTTTCGATAGATCAAAAAATATATTGTTTTTATTTGTTTGTTTTGTTTTTCTGAGATAGGGCCTGTCTACTTAGCCCTGGCTGCCCTGGAACACTGTCAGTGTAGACCAAAGTTCCATATTAGGAAGACAAAAACACTTTGAAACCCTGTGAAACAAAACTCATGAACTACAATTTTAAAACCTAAGTAAATAGGATATTTGTTGGTACCATTTTTTTTTAGTTTTTTTATTTTTTATATATTTGAATTACAAACAAGCTTGAATTACATGATGATCCCAGTTCCCTTCTCCCTCCCTTCCTCCTCTCCCACCACCCTCCCCCAACTAAAATCCTACCTATCATATGTCCTTTCTTCTAATTCGTTGGTACTGAGCCTAGCTTTTTCACTGCCTGGGGAGATGGTAACCAGTAAACTGCAGGCCAGAATCTTCTCTTACACACCTCTGTTTCCACATTGGTCTGCCGCTGAATATTTTTTCAAATAAATTAAGACTGTGAATCATTGTGTGTGAATAGGGTGCAGATTTTATATTTAGAGTAGGCTAATTTAGGCTGGGGGTGTAGCTCAGTTCTTGCTTATCATGTGAGAGGCCCTGGGTTCTCTGAGAAAAAAAATAAGAAAAGAGAAGAAAACCAATCCCTTCAACCCCTGCCCTCCAATTTTAACTTGCTAGGAAAGCAAAAGCATCATTTAAAGAAAAATCTACAGGCAATGGCCTGGGATAGAGGTTTAGTGAATGGTAGATGCTCGGGGGCTTTTGCTGGCTGCTGTGCTGGTTACACACACTTATACGGTATATAACCCACCCCCACCCCACCCCTACTGCCTATTTGTTACTCTTTAAATGATGCTTCTGCTCCCTGCCAAATTTAAATTAGTGGGTCCATGTCCAGAGTCCCAGCTACTTAGGAAGCTGAGGCTGAAGAATCTCTTGAGCCAGAAGTTCAAAACCAGCCTAAGAAGCTAAGGTGCTAAACTGGAGGAGCTGTCCGCATCTCCACACCAGCCTTCAAAGCAGCTGAGAGAGGAGCTGTTACAGGTGGTGGTCGTAGTTCCTCCTGTAGTTCCTCCTGCCGTTTGCCCCTAGGTCAGTCAGATGTGATTGTATTTAAACTAGATGAGAGCACAGGTAAGCCTGAGGACTTTGCGGAAGTGCTAAGGTTCCAGCATCCCACAGCAATCTCAAGATGACAGCCTGTCTCCCCTCCCCCAAGCCAGTGATATTTACTCTGATAATATTAATCGATTTATTAAAACATCTCCTTCCCCACAATGAAGGAGTTTGTCCGAAAACAAGCCAGCACAAAGCTGCCTGACCCGGAAGTCATCCAGTTCTGTGTCGCCGTCTTCAAATGCTCCCGGCTCCTGCTCCCCAGACGGAGTTGACCAGCAATTCTTAGAAGACTATCACAAGATGATCAAAGGAGGCTCCGTTGAGGATGCCAGCCAGTACTACTGTGACAAGGTGAGGGTGGTCCAGGTGCTGTCACACTTGGACCGAGTGGCTCGGTGACCCTCCCTTGTAGGCAGGCGAATGAGTAGTTCTGACTGAGAGGAAGTGTCTTGTCACCAACCACTACAGAGGGAAGGGATATAAACAACACTGTCACATGTCTTCTAGAATGACGAAGGAGATGGCTACCTCGTCCTGATCCGTATCACACCAGATGAAGATGGAAGATTTGGATTTAATCTTAAGGTATGCTGCGGAGAGTATGTGTAGCCCTTAGGTTATATGCAATGAGACAATCTTCAAGTAGATTTTGAATTTCAGTCAGAAATCTGCTACATACCTACACTGCATCAACAAAACCAAACAAAACCTCACTTGGGGCTGTAGAGGTAGCTCAGTTGGTAAGGTTCTTGCCACGCAAACATGAAGACCTGGTTTCAGTCCCCAGAAACTACCTAACAGAGATGGGTGTGATGATGCACTCCTGTAATCCCAGTACTGGGGAGGCAGAAGCAGGTGGATCCCTGGGCCTTAGTGGCCTGTCGAGCATAATCAGCAAGCTCTGAGCAAGTAAAAGACACTGTCTCAAGAAACAAGTTAGCTGGCACCAGAGGACTGAGACCCCCAAGGATGACCTCTGGCCTCCACCCAGAGACACACTTGTGTATGCATGCATACTCATATACACAGGTGCACACAATCATTCAGAACCACTCGGGGCTGAGACCAGAGCCTTTTATATGCTTGTACAACTACCTTACAGTAAATGTTTGCAATGTGCCTGACATTTGTGGCATTATACTAGATTTCTGTCATCTTACTGAGCTCTTAGAATAAGTGATTGAGGCAGAGCATGTGGGACTAATGCCTGTAACTCCACTATATCAGAGGCGAACACAGAAAGATTATGAGTTTGAAGCCGGCCTAGACTGTCTATCAAGTTCATGGCCAGCCAGAGCTATCAAGACCTTATCTCAAAAGAAATGAAGCTACTCCCTCAGCCTGGACACATGGGGGAGGGCCTAGGCCCTATCGCAAAGGATATGACAGACTCTTAAGACCCTCCCATGGAAGGTCTCACCCTCCCTAGAGAGCAGAAATGGCTTGGTAGGGTGTTAGTGTGGGACAGGGGAGGAGGGGAGGGAGAGGGAACATGTAAAACAATCTTGTTTCTAATTCAAATTTTAAAAGATGGAGAAGAAAAAAGAAATGAAGAAATAAATAGTGCATAGGACGGTTGTTAAACAGATCTTACAAATGAAACTGAGGTTCAGAAAGTAGTGTGTGTGTGTGTGATTGGTGATCAAACCCAGCCCACAGCCCACCCTGGAGGGGTTATTTAGAGAACCCTATAGCCCTGCTAGACTGATAAGGGAAAGCCAGTTCTGTGAGTTGCTGGGCCTCCTTGTCTAATGGGTCCCTGTAGGCAGTGTCTCCAAACTGCTACCACGGGCCTGCGCCCATCTGTGTACATAGCATTATTGAAGCAGGTGCTGCACCCATTCGGTTACAGCTTCAGGGATTCATTGGTGGAGTTAAATGACTGCCTCAGGGCCCTCTTTCCCACACATCTTAAATAGCTATTGAGGAAGCATCATCTAACTTTCATCTCACTCACACCTCCCCACTCCCTCAACAGCTCCCATTCCTGGTTTTTGTTGTTGTCTTTGTTTTGCTTTGTTTTTTTTTTTTTTTGGTTTTTCGAGACAGGGTTTCTCTGTGGCTTTGGAGGCTGTCCTGAACTAGCTCTTGTAGACCAGGCTGGTCTCGAATTCACAGAGATCCGCCTGCCTCTGCCTCCCGAGTGCTGGAAAAGACTTCTTTATTTATTTTGTATACAGTGTTCTGTGTGTACATATGCCTGCAAACCAGAAGAGGACATCAGGTCCTATTAGGGACGGTTGTGAGCCCCCATGTGGTTGCTGGGAATTGAACTCAGGACCTCTGGAAGAGCAGGCAGTGCTCTTAACCGCTGAGCCATCTCTCCAGCTCTCCCATTCCTGTTCTAGAGTGAATTGGGGCTGGCTACCAGCCTCTGGCTTGTCACACACACCCCATTCTTCCTGAAGCTCCCTAGGGCTCTGCTCACAGGGAAGCACTCAGGTGCACATGGCCCTTCCTGAGGCCTTGTACCTCCTCTTTTGGAAAAGTTAAAATAGTCCCTTTCCAGGAAATGTGGTCGGGTCCTCCCATGGCATCTTCAGTTCTAGTGATGGGGATGTTGGGATGTGCTTCCGAGCCAGTGGAGTGCTGGCTACCCTGCTGGGTAAAGAGGAGTCATTAGTGTGTTCTATAATTCTGCAAAGGCTCCCAGTCCTGTGATTGGTCCTCCTGTAAAGCCTTCCTAAACTGTAAGGCTCACATTTACTGTATCTTGGTATCTTTGTTGGCAAGACTACTCATGTTTTTTTTTTTTTTTTTTTTTTTTTTCTGGTTTTGTTTGCTTTAAAACATTTGCAGGGAGGAGTGGATCAAAAAATGCCTCTTGTGGTCTCCAGGATAAACCCAGAGTCGCCTGTAAGTAAACACATTCCATGTTACTTCCTGTGTTTGCTTTCCCCTAAGTCAAACAAGTTTCTGTTTCTACATCCCATTCCTGGGTTTTGTTGGGATTTCATTTTTATTTGATTGCTTGGATGGTTAGGTGATACACACGGACAGATGGAGACAAGCGTGGGACACCCATTAACTAGAACTGTGCTGTGCAGTGTGGTCTCTGAAACTACAGCACTGTCACCTGGGGCCTTGTTACATGTGCGAACCTCTGGCCAAAGCACAGGTGCAGGCCACAGGTGCTGGCCCAGGCCTGGAGTCCTGCTTACCCTAGATCTGTCGGTAAGAAGATCCCTTGGGTGATATGTATGCACATTGAACTTCGGGAAGTGCTGCTCGAGCGAAGGAGACTGAGAGAGTTTACTTTCTGTTTGCCTCCTGTAGAGATCCTTTGCCTCTTTCTGTTTTTTCTTGCTGTGTACATATGTAAGGTGTAGCATGATATGTTGGCTAAGCCTGTATGGAGTGGACAGGTGAGTGGGCGGACCTGCTATATTCTGTTTTTTTGTGTGATGGTTTGCTTTCACTAAAACATTGCAACGTGAGCAAGTGATTGTGCCTTCTCTGAGGGGATCACTTAGGCAGAGAGGTTCCCTCTTCAGTCCTTATTGGGGCCGGGAAAGATGGCTCAGTGGTTAATGCTCATGCTGCTCCAGTGTGAGGACCAGGTTTGCATCCCTAGTACCCGCATAAAAGGCAGGTGGCAGGTGCAATGACCACCTGTAATCCTATTGTGTGGGAGGCAGACAGGGGGTCCCAGAACAAGCTGGACAGCAGGACTAGGTGAACTGATGAGTGAGAGACCCTGCCTTGGTGATAAAGTGAAAAACAATTAAGGAAGATACCCATTTTCCATGTCTATGCACATGTAAACACACATACACTTACACACATATACACACACAGGTTTGTTTGTTTTTTAATTGCTACTTAGCAGTTGCTTTTTGTTTGTAGTTTGTAGGGAATAAAGCTTGCTTCCCCACACTATTCTGCTATAGTTTCTGCCCCTGCTATGGGACTGACAACATTATATTTCTTCCTTGTAAGACAAGGGAGATTAATGCTCATTCATAGCTGACTGGGCATTTTCAAACAGTCTATCCAACAAACAGAAGGTTGGAGGCGTTGTTGTGTCATTCTGTTCAGCAAGGTGGGCTCCCATGGAGAAATGCTTCCATAAACCTGGCTTCTCTGTTCTGAAGTGTCTCATAGTTTACATTCTGATTCTCTTTAAAATCTCACCACCAGCAGCTACTATGTCCACCTAGCAGCAGCTATGCAAACGGTGACAGTGATACCCAAGGGAGAAGAGGTAAACTTGATCGCAGTCTCAGGTGTCTGGGATCAGAGAGAGGCAGCCTTCTTCTTCCCCTTGAGGCCAGTGCTATGGTAACAAAGAAACTCACTTCCCTCCACCAGGCGGACACTTGCATGCCTAAGCTGAATGAAGGGGATCAGATCGTGTTGATCAATGGCCGGGACATCTCAGAGCACACTCATGACCAGGTGGTGATGTTCATCAAAGCAAGCCGGGAGTCCCACTCGAGAGAACTGGCCCTGGTGATCAGGAGGAAAGGTAACACACAGGCCCCTGGGGGTGGAGCCACGGGGACACCGCCATAGAGGAGCAGTGTTTTATCTACCCAGTTTCTTTGTTTACTTGGTGTTCTGGGACAGCTCCCACACTGTAGCCCAGGCTATACTACAGTTTGCAGCAATTCTTCTGCTTCAGCTTCCTGGGTGTTCTAATTATAAGCCTGAGACTCCGTTCTGGGCTGCATGCTGTATTTTCTACAGTAGTAGTCAGCACTTGGAAATGAATTTCTTAACAACTAGGATATCTGGCTTGTCACCACTACAAACAAAAAAAATATGAAGGTCCATCTGCAGGGGTTCTGAAGTACCCTTTACATAGACCTAGATCCCTGTAATTCTTAGAGGCCAGGCCCAGCTGGCTCATGCCCCACTCTTAGCTTGCCTGGCTCAGAATGTGACTTACTAGTCCTATCTTATTTCTGAGTGTTTGTCTTTGTCAGGGAGGCAGAAGGATCAGAGGGCAGAGACCTGACCCTACCTCTTATACTGAAGAACCTCCAAGTTAACCAGCCTTCTTTATCGTTCCTCAGATGTTACGTGAGCATAGGTAGCCTAGACTCTTCCTCAGGGGCTCTTGTGCAGATTAAATGACACACTCAGACTACTAGGGAAATGGGGATGTGCTGTAGATAAGTGAAGAAAGGCCTGTTAAATAGTATTGCTGAAGAAAGGCCTGTTGAGTAGTGTTACTTGTTGTTTTAATATACTAAGCCAAGTACTCCCAACTAGGGACAGTGAGAGAATAAAGAAAAGATGGACACATGGACACAGGAAAGTTGGGTTCATATGGGCTGTGTACACTCTGGTACATGGCATCAACTGCTTCAGCAACCTAGAACCTCAGTGTGTTTACTATGGACAGCGCAGCAGGAGGAGTTAGCTGGACACTGTCGGTGGTTTCTGTGGGCAACAGTCTCAGGCTGTAAACATCTGGGACGAGGAGCTGCAGTTGCTAGTTTTTGTACACACTGGCTAGTCATTCATAAACACTTATACTTGGACTACAGGGTGGTTATGCCATTCTGAGCCTGACCTGAAGAAGGCTTTGCCAATTTCCTATGGGTCCAAGCATTGGTCCTTGACATGGCTGTGCCTGTGACCTGTGACAACATACATATTCATTCAGGACTTCTTAAGCTCTTTATAAATTCACTCAAAGCTTCCTCAGCTCCCCACACTTCTACAGTCTTTATTATTACTATTATTATTATGACATTTATTCATCCATTTTATTTTTATATGTATGTGTGTGAGTACTGTGTGTACATGCACTTAGGGGTCAAAGGTCAGCCAAGGAGTCGGTTCTCTCCTTCCACAGTGTGGTTCCTTGGAATCAAACTCAGTCAGGCTTGCTAGCAAGCACCCTTACCCACTGATACATCTTGCTGATCCTTGCATGAATGGAGGCTGGACCTGTAGTCTGGCCTTGGTGTAGGTGCAGCCCAGTGCCCCACTCCCTGCTCACACTAGGACTCCTATCCTGAGCCATTCTAGAGCCATGCTCACCCCACCTCTTCTGGGAGGCCTTAGGGAAACTGCCCAACTCCCACCCATCCCTGTCATGATACCCACTATACAAATCCCAGCAGCCTGCTAGAACTCAAATGCTCAGTGGGAGTTCAGCAGTAACCAGACACACCAGGGAAAGTGTGCTTTGCGCTGACTGCTTCATGGTGGCAGTCGCTTTAACCCTCACCCACATGTAGAAGAATCAGGAAACAAAGCCACAGAGAGGGGAAAGCACTTGCCCCACTTCCATGTGGTTCTGATTGATTGTTCTGTGTTTCTGATACCACACATTGATAAGAGGCCAAAGGGGCCAGTCCACCATTTGTGACATGCTGGGTGTCCAGACCCATAGGAAAAGCCACCTCTGATGGCCACAAGGGACTGGTGCCTGCTGGTGGTAAGGAAAACCTAGCACTGTTGGAGACCACCTATTTTCAAGACCTATAGTAATCTTATTTGTAGCATAAATCTGTAAATGAGAAATTTGAATTGATTTAAAGGAAAGGAAGTCAGCGAATGTAACACAGAGGGTTGCAATTATGACAGAAACCACATATCATAAGAAAAATTGCTTTGCTGTGGTCAGTGAATGTGGCCTTTAAAGTCAGGTGAAGATATGGACGGCTTTCCCATGACCTGCCCTGACAGGCTGGGTGACCTTGAACAAACTCTCTGGAATGGAAAGCTCAAAGCTGACTCAGAATTCTGAAGGCTCAGTTCAACTATATGAGAAAATTCAAAGTTGTTTAGTTACTTTCTCCTTTCCTCTTGTCTTGAAAGTCAGGAGCCATTGAAAGCTCAGTGAGGGCGTAATTTCCCTTTCTGAGTTAAAGGGAAAATTCAGAAATGATCCTAAAGTTTCAAATTTAGGAAGAGGAAGTAAGGAGTTGACGATTGCGTCTGAGGTAAAATATTCCATAAGGCAGAGTGAGGAGGAGACATGGCTCAGCAGACAGAGTGAGAACTGGAATTCAAATCTCTAGCACCCGTATAAAAAATGAGGTACATTATCCCAGCAAATGGGAGGCACAGGAGGGACCCCCCAGAATATGCAGCTAGCTTGACTACCCAGTCATTGAGTTCTAGGGCCAAGTGACAGGCCCTGTCTAAGGTGGAGAGTGATAGAGGAAGACATGTAATGTCAGCCTTAGCCTCCCCAAACACCACACACACACACACACACACACACAGAGGATGGGAGCTTGGGCCTGTATTTTTCTCCATAGAGTCTGGCATGAAGGGAGAAATTGAACTTGAAAAGGTGGAGCTGACATGCAGAGATCTTGGCACTAGTACTTATCACTTGGCAAAATTGATCTCAAATTGAAAGTAGGCTCTTAAGGGAAAGGAACAACACCATGGGACAGTGAGATACAGCTCAGTGGGTAGAGGCACCCACTGCCAAGCCTGCTGACCTAGGTCCGAGGCCTAAAACCCACTCACATGGTAGGAGAGAACTGACTCTAAGAGTTATCCCTGATGTCCACACATGCTCTCACACACATGCACACAGACACTCACACACATGCATCCCCACACACGTGCACTCACACACATACACACATGCACTCAAACACACACACACATACACACATGCATTTACACATACACTCTCACACATATTCACACACATGCATCCACACACACGTGCACTCACACACATACACACATGCACTCAAACACTCACACACATACACACATGCACTCAAACACTCACACACATACACACATGCACTTACACATGCACTCAAATACACACACATGCACACATGTACTCACATGCATCCCCACACACGTGCACTCACACACATACACACATGCACTCAAACACTCACACACACACATTCACACACATGCATGCATTCATACACATTCATCCCCCCACACACATGTTCTCATACGTATACACACATGCTCATACACATGTACTCACACACATGCACACAAAATGATAAACAGAAATGTAATTTAAAATTTTTGTAAAAAGAAACCAGACTATAGGAAATAGTAATGTCACAGGGAGAGCTTGGGGCCTCCACATGTGTCTAGAAGAGTGCCCATGTTAAGGATGTTGGGTGGGAACCAAAGAGTCCTTCCTTCCTTCCTACCTTCCTTCCTTCCTCCCCTTTTTCTTTTCCTTTCCTTTCCTTTCCTTTCCTTTCCTTTCCTTTCCTTCCCTTCCCTTCCCTTTCCTTTCCTTTCCTTTCCTTTCCTTTCCTTTCCTTTCCTTTCCTTTCCTTTCCTTTCCTTTCCTTTCCTTTCCTTTCCTTTCCTTTCCTTTCCTTTCCTTTCCTTTCCTTTCCTTTCCTTTCCTTTCCTTTCCTTTCCTTTCCTTTCCTTTCCTTTCCTTTCCTTTCCTTCCCTTCCCTTCCCTTTCCTTTCCTTTCCTTTCCTTTCCTTTCCTTTCTCTTCCCTTCCCTCCCCTCCCCACACCTCCCTTCCCTTGCCTTCCCTTCTCTGGGAACTGAACTTAGAGCCTCACGCATGCTAGGTGACCTCTCTACCACTAAACTGTGTTCACAGCCCATGACCTCTTTCTTCAACAATGTTCATTTTCACACCTAGAGTATGGCCCACAGCTTGTCAGGGTCACTCACCTAGAAATGGTATTGGGTACAAATGATGCCCACGCACTTGATCATTTGATGAGGCCAGTGGACCACCATCCCTGGTGTTCTGGGCCGATAAGCAGAGTGACCAGCCCATTGTCCTGTCTGTTATGTCTGTTCCAGCTGTGCGCTCACTGGCGGAGATCAGATCGGAAGATGAGTTGAGTCAGCTTTTCCCAGAAGCCATGTTTCCTGTCTGTCCTGAGGGTGGTGACAGTCTGGAGGGATCCATGGAACTGCTAAAGAAAGGTCTAGAAAGTGGTACAGTGCTGATCCAGTTCGAGGTAAGGGGATCCCAGGGCCTGAATCTCCACCCAGTTACTGCCACTCACCATGTGCCTCTGCTGCAGCTTAGTAGCAAGCTGGAGCATGGTCCTGTCTCCTTGGCCAAGATGACTCTGGTTCACAGGCCTCAGACTAGAGAGTCTCAGTGAGGACATACGACCCAGGTCTGATGGGGGCCTCTTCTCAGGCTCAGAGTGATGAAGCATCAGGTGAAGGCCCAGGACCTCTTCCAGCTGTTCAGCCCTCCCACTGACTTCTAGCAGCAATCTGTAGGCAGGGCTGGCCTGTCAGTAACTGAGGATGAGGGGGCTCTGAACCTATGGAGCTGCCAGCAGGAGCTTAAAACTCCACAGCACAGAAAATGGTGCCATCCACATGATGGTGGCAGGTTAGCACTCTACCCCCAACTACACTTGGGGTTTAGAGAGTTGGTATCACACCACGAGGGCACAGTGTCTCATCTTCCAAGGCCACCAGACCACAGAAACATAGAGTCTGTGCTGTCTTCTCAGGAAGGATGGCTCTGGAGTACGCAGGGTCATGCCTCATCTGCAGCAGTGCCCGCAGAGGCCTTTCACACAACCCCAAAAGCACAACTGCTTCCAAACCAGTTTTATCCACTAGTAATCGAATGAAAACAGAATGTGTTCATCTGCCATGTGTGTTTGAAGGTAGAAGAGAGCAGTTGTTTACGAAATGAACAGGTGCCTCATGCATAGTACCTCAGCGTGCTGGAGGCTGAGGCAGGATGATCTCAAGTTTGAGCCTAGCCTGGACCACATAGTAAGACCCTGTCTCAGAAAGGCGGTTGGGGTAGGGAGAAGAGAAGAAAGAAGGCAAAAGAATCTACTTAACATTTTTACACAGTTAACAATGCTGAACATGGCCTCAGCTCACAAAGTAGGGATAAGAGGCGCCAGTGAGATTCAGAAACAGATCAACAGCACATAATTTACTAGAAAAACCCTGGAAGGAAAAACACTAGGAAAGGTGGGCAATTTGTCAAATATATTGACTGCAGAGTGACTCAGGAAGAAAGTGTAGCACAGCTGGCAGACAAAAGGGAATGCCAAGCAGAAAGCCTTAAGCAAAAGACTTACCCTACAGTAGCCTAGGGCCCAGAATGTAAATTATTTGAGAGCAGTGTGAGTTGAACAGCAGTAGAAAGAACTCCATGGGAGAAAAAGCAAAGGTAGTTGACTCTTCCCTTCCACCCCCCCACCACTAGAAGATTCTCAGTTTTTTTAATTAGCCGGTTGTCTAGACAAGTAACATAAAAGTTTGCATCTTGTGGTGGTGATATTTGGGTGAGAAATTGTGACATGAACACTCTAGAGTAATTAAAGCAAGGATGCAAATCTAGGCTCAGATTCCATGAGTTTCTTCCTTTTGGTGCTGAGGATGCTGTGAACTAGGAGGGCATTGGTGGACTATTTGTTGATTCAGCTAGTATGTCTGAGGTACTCTGGGAGCATGGTGAGGGATGGAGAAGGAGGCGTCTAGCCATAAGGAGCTTGCTGTCTAATTTTAGTATATTTCGGGGGCTGTATCATGAGAGCAAGCAAGACAGGATAAGATTTTAAAATTGTGAGTGTATGTTCCCTGGCAACTGGTAATTCTAGTTGATCAGGAAATCCACAAGGAGGCACTGTGGACTCTCCTTGGGAACTTGAAGCCAAGCTCTTTGATTAACTAAAGCCTTCTCTGTGCTCTTGGCTCAACTTTGGTGTGCTTTTGACGTCTAGGAAGCCCCCATAAGGTTCTCCTTGCAATGATTTCATCAGCTCCTAGAAGGTTTTTAAGAGTATTTCTTTTTCGTCGCTAGAAGTCCAGAGCCCTATCCTTTGCGCCACGGAGCCACCTTTGAAAATATTTCTTAAAGGGTGAGCCTGTAGCCCCTTGTATAGAAATCACATGAGGAGCCGTGAACCTAGCCCACAACTACCAGACATTGGTGCATTTTGTTTCCTTTTGGTTTGGTTTGATTTTGTTTTTGTTTTTTTGAAACAAGGTTTCTCTGTGTAGCTTTGGAACCTGTCTGTCCTGGAACTCACTGTGTAGACCAGGCTGGCCATGAACTCACAGAGGTCCACCTGCCTCTGCCTCCCAAGTGCTGGGATTAAAGGCGTGTGCTACAATTGCCTGGCCAGACATTGGTGTTTTAACAAAGTCGCTGAGAGTTTGTGTGTGTGTGTGTGTGGTGGGGGACACTAATTTGTTATTATTAGCGCATGATATGGAAGTGGGCTTGTGCCACAGTGTGCATGTGGAGGTCACAGGACAGCCATGTGAAATCACTTATTTTCTTTTTTGTTTTGTTTTGCTTTTTTAAGACAGGATTTCTCTCTGTGGCTCTGGCTGTTCTGGAACTTGCTCTGTAGATCAGGCTGACCTGGAACTCAGAGATCCACCTGCCTCTGCCTCCCAAGTGCTGGGATTAAAGGCCTGTGCCACCACCACCTGGTTCATTTATTTTCTTATGTGTGGGTTTTGGAGATTGAACTCACGTTGCCAGACTTTCGCATCAAGCACCTCTCCTGCGCTCACTTGAGGTTTTGATGTTTCAATTGATCCCAGAGAAGCAGATAGAAATGGTATTAGGCCCATTGCCCACCACTGCCTCTCCTCGTCCTCCGGAAGAGGCCTTAAGAATACCCACAGCTGGGCAGTGGTGGTGCGTGCCTTTAATCCAGCCCTCAAGAGGCAAAGGCAGGCGGGTCTCTGTGAGTATGAGGCCAGCCTAGTCTACAAAGCGAGTTCCAGGACAGCTAGAGCTGTTACACAGAAACCCTGTCTTGAAAAGCCAAGAAAGGAAGGAAGGAAGGAAGGAAGGAAGAAAGGAAGGAAGGAAGGAAGGAAGGAAGAAAGGAAGGAAGGAAGGAAGGAAGGAAGATAAGAACATGCACGTTTGGGATTTGCACTTCAATCTGGTACACTTATTTCATGTTCTAGGATGCTCCTCTTTGAAATAATGTCTTATTGAAGTCTAAGATACTGACTGGATAAGACAGATCTAATCTGCAATGGAGCTGCTGGGATCCCAGAGCTCTCTGGGTGTCCCTCACTGCCCCTCAAGGATCCCTAAGATCCTGAGAGCATCATGTGACACCACCATCTCAGGGTGGGAGGGTATGTGCCAACACTAAGCAGGGGGACCCAAGGGAAGCCAGACCAAACAGGAAAACACCCAGGAAAGGCAGCCTTAGTGAGCCCCTGCTGTGTCCAGGGCATCAGCTTCTGTAATTCTCACATCAGCCCTGTTAGGGCAGTTTGGTCTCATAGCACACAGGAGGGAGCAGAATCTCAGATTGAGCAAATGCTCAAAGGGCTCATAATAGAGGTCAGAGAGCCTGACTGGAACCCAGACAGAATACCAGTACCTCGACCTTGTTCTTTTAACCACCATGTACACAGGCTTAGGAAACTGAGATGTTCTTGGCCTGTGAAGTTGTTATTAGAGGCATACACGTCAATGCTATCTGGGAGGCTGTCTAGCCACATGGAGCCAGACCGACTTTAAATTCCGGCTCTACCCCTTACCCCCACCCCTTAACCTCTAAGGCCCTTATCTCCCCATGTGCAAATTGGGTGTCTCCTGAATTGATTGTAAGGAGTGGATGAGATAAATGCTTAATGCATCATCTGGCCTGTGATAAGAACACTATAAAAATTAATAGCTGTTATTATTTATAAACCAAGAGAGGCTACAAGAGCATGCCCAGCCTGCATAAGGTATCATCAGTTGGCACTGAGCTTGGAGCCCTGGGCTGTCAATTCCAGAGTCATGGCTGTCTGAGTCCTTCCATCCTCCAGTACCTTGACAAGTGGCTGCTCAGCTTGTGGCAACTGTGCTGTGTGGACAAGTGCAGGATAAAGACCCTGGTCCCCAGCAGGCATCCACACTGCCTCCTCCGTGACACAGAGTGCCTGCCCAAGGATTGTGGTCTGCAGAGAGATCTCCCCACCCTCACTCTTGTAAAGCTTATTTTAAGCTTTTTTTTTTTTTTTCATTAAGGGAATTCCTTCATCCATTTCTGTGTAAACAGAAGGCATTTGGTCCCCGATGTACCAAAACAACAATAATAATTAGCATTTCTAAAGTACTCTGCAGTCTACTGAGTATGTCTCACATGTCAGCTACATTAGCTCTCCCATCTGTGAAATGGATGGGGCAAGAATTACTAGAATTAGTCTTTACATGCTGTTGCTGCTGAAGACTGAACCCAGGACCTCTGCCACCCTAAGCATGCACTCTGCCACTCAGCCACAACCACAGCCCCCAGATTGCTCTTTAGAAATGGAGCAAAGGAGGTTTGGAGACGTTTAGGAACTAGATCCATACTGAAAATGAAAATCTGGGACTAGAGATAATGGCTCAGCTGTTAGGAGCATACAGATACTGCTCTTCCAGAGGACCCACTTGCACTTCCCAGCACCCATATTGGGTGACTCATAATTTTCCTGTAACTCTAGCTCCAAGGGATCTGACTCTTCATCTTCTAGCTTCCTCATGCACCCACACTTACATGTGCAAATCATCACAGGGACACACAGATAAACATAACTAAAAATAAAATAAATCTAAAGACAAAACCCTAAAAACTAAAATATACCTGGGTGGGTATTGGACACCTGTAGTCTGAGGCAAGAGGATCGCTTAAACCCAGGACTTTTGAGACCACCCTGGGCAGCATAACAAGACCTTGACTCAAATACACAAAAATTCAATCACCAATCTGTCCGTGGTGGCACACACCTTTAATATGAGCACTCAGGAGGCAGAGATAGGAGAATCTCTGAGTTCGAGGCCAGCCTGGTCTACAGAGCAAGTTCAGAACATCTAGGACTACACAGAGAAACCCTGTCTCAAAAAGCCATTTAGAAAACAACAACCTCCAATCATTGTCAGCAGTTCACACTCACTGGGTATGACTCAATTCTTTCCCATCCAGCTTCTTCCTGGCCTACTGTCAGTTACTGCCTCCTTGGAGACTTGTAG